ATCAGTGTAAGTATATTAACTCTCCTAATTGACTATGTTGGGTTTTAATTGGAAAACCAAAAAATATGACTTAAAATGATCTTTGTTAATTTGCAAACTTTATTCTGTCAATGCCCAATTAGTTAATTCAAATTTTCAATTTTGGATGAGCCATATTATTTTTTTTAACTACATCAAGTGACCTTTCAGTACTCACATGACCTCCTTGTGCTATGCGGATTCCTGCCCGTAAACTGCTCTGGATCTGTCCCATATGAACCACCCCTGTAACCCCCACCACCTCCAACATGCCATCGTAATGAGTTGGTTTAGCAAATTGGTCCTCCCTCTCTGGTCCCCATGGGTTGGAGCCAGACCCCCAACTATTCAGAAAAAATCTTTTCATATAAATATTCTCATAATAAACATCCCCTTTTGTTTTTTTCATATTCTATAAATAAACGAATTCATTTAAAATTTAAATATATGTAAAATGTAGGCTTTCAATCAATCCTTTCCTCCCATTTGAGCTTCAGATGATAGGACTAATTTAAAAGCTTATCCATTGAAAGTTTCATTCTGTAAGTTAATAAGGTCCAGTTCATTTATTGAGAGAAAATAAAAACCATTTAACAATACATTGTCAACTGTTCAAATCACAAATAAATAAATACTATCTATAACTGCAATGAGATGATATACCTACCTGAGTATGTTTAGGATAATAATTCCCTCCACTGGTGGTAACTCTACTAACCGTCCATCTACCTCCAGGCGAATGTGACGATGCAAGTCTTTCACCAGCCTTTTCTTTACCATTTTTTGTAATCCCATTTTAAAATAAAATCCTTTATTATGAATTCTGAAAAATCAAAAAAAAAAAAACAGTGTTGAAAAGTTTGTCCAAATAATTTTTATTGTACACTGGCTTTTCAAATCTATTTTGCTGATATAAATTTGTTTACTTGTGCAGAGTAAAGTACCTTCTTTCTGTTCAGACTGAGTCTACCTGCATTAGATCTCTTACTTAAAAAAAAATATGCGATACAATCCAACTGACTACCCTGTTTCTGACTAAGCTGTAGAGGACATTACTGACCTGCTCTGGAATTTCCCTGGTTTCTCTTCCCTGGCTGTATGGAAGTCCAAAGATATTTCAGCATCAATTCCAATACCAAAATAATTGTTCATTACAAATATTGAGGTTGTGTCCTCATACTGATCTTTGGTTTCTTGTTCCTTCTCGTTAGGATGGAAGATCACAGTCCACCTGTAAACAATACAAGTACAAATCTCTGAGGAGTATTTATAATGAAGTATCATACATTTGATCAAGTTAAATTATATGCAGAAACTTAAAAGAAGCCAGAGAATTACAACTCTCTATCCAAAAAAAAAGTTGAATACATTTAAAAAATGTAATGGGATATATATGGCATATAATTTGGACTGTGTGGCTCTTGTTTTTAATTTACCTAGTATATGCCAATGCTCAACTTTTAACCTTTATTGTGAGCCCCAGACCCTAGCTCTCTGCATAATGATTTGAATAAGCTGAACCTAAGGCACATTGAGATGCCTGTATATTAAAGCAAACTGCAACCCTGCTGTTTTTTCTTCTGAAGAGGATGAACAATTTTTCCAATAAATCTGTTTCCTATCCGGATCTCCTATTGCAGCCCTACCTAAGCCCCATGCTGGGACCAAATTTGAATCCATCAGCTAATGTCCAAGTCAGGCATGTTTGTTGCAATTATTAATGAATTAGCATTATCAGCATTTATGTGTATATATGTAGGTAAGATCAAACTTAAAGCCTATTATTGTCATAAAATTTTAAATGACTATTTGATGACTAAATTTATATAAACCTTTTTTTTGCGAAGATTTTAGTCATTGAATCAAAATTGCATTATTGTCGTCCTGTACAATAATTATTTCTTATACACTAATATTATGTAACTTGATCAATTATATAACTATAAAAAAAAATTATATTGTTAAAAAAAAGAGAAAAGAATGTTTAAATTGTACATTTGTGTATGTTGAAATGCCCCTCGGGGCCCTTGATTGGTAAATAAAATATTTTGTATAAAAACTTCTCGCATTAATAAAAAGCGATTTAACATAGTAAACATGCAGCTTCATTAACAATCATATTCTTTACCTGTCTAATTTAATTTCCTCAGCATCTATTACATCTCTCAGTAAATTTAATGGATCCTCTCCTCCGGTGTAACCTGGTCCCCATCGTAAAACTCGAGCCAAGTCATTACCTAGACATTGGAAGAGTACAAAGAATACTCATGCTCATTCTTCAACCAATCAAATTTAATATCAAAGTACAAACTCTGACACTTTATAAAATTTGTTTGAAATTAAATGTATTAAACAGAGAAATTATTATTTTGCCATGGTATGAATTAATTGCTAACCTGTACCCAATGGCACAATGGCCAGAGGAGGTGACTGGCACACTGCGTCCTGTCCGACGTTATCCAGACAGGACAACACCCACCCAACTGTCCCGTCTCCCCCACAGGCGAGAATTTTATAGTGTGCTACATGTCTGAACACATACAGGCCTGGCAGAGGACCCCCGTTCTCCAGGTTAAACACCTGGTGGGGGTTGAGTAGTTTGCGGAAGGAAGTGATGAGCTCCGAGCCCTGACAGCCTCCACTCTTTGCATTGACAAACACTAGTAGAGGACTGACATTTTCTAAGATCATGTGGGACTGAAACAAAGGATGTAAGCCAAATTAATAAACTAAAGCAAATCATATAAAAACATAGTTAAATTGTGATAAAAATATTGACAAAGTACAATTAAATCACGCAATGCTCAAGTGAGTCAAAATGAACCTGTTTGTTAGGATAGACAAATCCTGGACAAAATTTGAACAGGAAAGATATTTGGCACCTGCTTCTCAATTGTGATGTTGCCTCTGACTCTCATCTTCTCTGCTTGACATGAGACTCCAGGGACAATATGAATATAGTTTTTAAAACATTTGTCTTCATTTGGAAACAAGATTTACCAAAATGGATTGTGTATACATGTATATTACATGTATCCACTCTTTCTGCAGGCAAATGTGATCCAACTTACCTGAATATTGGGTAAAAGCAATGCTAATATTGGTTTCTGGTCATATGTACTGTTACTCAAAATGTTGAATGCATTAGTGGCATGTTCTGCAGAGTTGTATATTACCACCAATGACCCATACTCATAGTATATCACATCAAAATAGGACCATTTGTTTTCTAAAACAAAACATTAAATTATTTTAATCTTTTGTACCTCAATAGTATACTTTTAAAATATACAATCAAGATATAGAAAATATATTAATTCTGCATGACCTTTTTTAAAGAATGAAATCTATTATAATAGGTAATCATTTTTTAAAAAATATTTTTGCTACAAGTATGAGCTCGCAAAAATTTCCATGTTTATATACTATACAAAATCACTAACCAGGAGTGATAAAGTCTAGAAGTAGTTTTTCATATTGTGCATGTTTATACTATAAACAAGAGGCCCACGGGCCTTATAGGTCACCTGAGTATCGTGTAACAACTTTCAAACAAATAACTTCGGTTTGTGTTTTAAACAAGAGGCCATGAAATTTACAATTCATAATTTTCAAAGAGGCACCATTGCTTATCATAATTATAAACTTAGCATGCTTACTCTATTAATTAATACCCAGAGGTTGATCAGAGTAACAAAGAGAAAATGCACTTCCACTTTATAACCAGTTTTGCACCTCACCCAAAGGAACCACAGACCATGGTGCCATATATTTCAAAATTTTGCAAATTTTATCATAAAATGGTTGATTAATACCAAAGAGCAGATTTCAAAGCATTAATTTATTTTCAGACTATGTAACCCCCCCTACCCCGACCCAGGGGGGGGGGAGGGCATAAAAAATAATCATTTTGCTAGATGCACCTTTCTTCATCATAAATATATATATATGGATCATTGGCATAAAACCCAGGAGCAAAGGAAAAGATTTTCAAAGAATTAATGTATTTTCACTATATAATCTATATAGCCTCTCCCTAGCACTAGAACCCCAGATCCTGGGGCCATAAATTTCACAATTTTGGAAGAAGCACTCTTGCTCATCATAACTATGTGCTTAGTTAGTTAATTTAATACCCAGAAGCGGAGAAGAAGATTTTCAAAGAATAAATGCATTTTCACTATATAATCAATAGAGCCCCGCCCAAACACCAGAACCCCTGACCCTGGGGCCATAAAATTCACAGTTTTGGAAGAGGCACTCTTGCTCATCATAACTATGTACTTAGTTAGTTTATTTAATACCCAGGAGCAGAGAAGAAGATTTTTAAAGAAATAATGCATTTTCACTATATAATCTATATAGCCCCGCCCTAGCACTAGAACCCCTGACCCTGGGGACATGAATTTCACAACTTTGGTAGAGGACTCAATGCTCAATACATTCATGCCAACAGTTTGCCTGCTTGATGTCCAGGAGTAAAGGAGAAGATTTTTAAAGATTGCAATAATTTTAGTGGTTTTGGCCCCACCCCCCAGGCCCCAGGGGGGTAGGGACCATGAAATTCACAATTTATGTTCCCCTTTACCCATGGATGCTCATACCAAATTTGGTTGAAATTGGTTCAGTGGTTTCACAGAAGAAGCTAAAAATGTTCAGATGTTAACACACGACGGACGACGAACGAAATCAGATAGCAATAGGTCACCTGAGTTACTCAGGTGACCTAAAAATCACTGACCAGGAGTGATAAAGTCTAGAAGTAGTTTTTCATATTGTCGTTGAGCCAGGCCTGTGGGTAAATTTCCTACAAAGAGTGAGATACTGGGTCCATGTGGGTCTTCCTTCTGCTTCAGGTAGAACCGTGTCATCCTGTTCTGTTGTAACGAGTCCTAAAGATAAATTAACAGTTTACAGTGGTCAGTAATGAGTTCTATACAGCAGTAAATGCAAACTCTAACAAATGACCAAAACATATTTCTGTTATTATCAAATGCCACTCGATAGTTTATTTTCTTTTTGTTCGATATTGTAAAATGTTTTCACTCTAATGTTTTTCCTCACTAGTTTCCAAGACACAATGATCTCTTGAGTCAAGATCATGATACATCCCTAAGCACTGGAATCAACTTATATACATTAAATCCATTCCCACGCACCAAAATTTTACCGTCTGATGTTAACGTTAACTCTTTAATTATAAGTTCTTTTTTTTTTTTTATTTTCAAACAGTTTTCCCCCCTAGAAATTTACAAGTAAAGAAAAGGTGCCCTGTTAAAGGTTATTCGATATAGGAGCAACTAATGTCCACCTTTCGCTCTGATTAATGAACACAAGGATCAAGAATTTTGGTCAACAGCTAAGTGTCACTCAGGTTATCTCAACATGGAGCTATCCTGTAATGATGACAATTGTCCAACAGAAAATAGAGATGGATTCAAGAGAGAGATGAAGTAACTAAATCATACAGCAGTAATTTCCCCTTAACTTGTGGCCTTAGATTATCATTTACATACTGATATTCTTTGATCCTTACCTTTCGACTTTTCTGTAGAATCTGCCAAGGTCTTGCATCAATAGGAAGTACCTGCTCATTGACTCCTTTATCCAGGACAACCTCAATCAAATTAAACGTCTCAGGGTCCACATCCTGTAATGTTTAATGTTAGAATCTCATTATAATTGGAATGTACACCATTTATCAAGAGTTAATATGATCTAATTTTTATGAATATCCAAATGTTTCTTCTACAGTACAATACTAAATCAAGTTTTAACACTGTATGAGACTACCTGACATTAGCGACCATTTTAGAATTTTCCTTTATGGTTGCTTAAAACAGGTTAACGGTAGTCTGTACTTGACTTATTTAATGCAGTTGTAATCAAAACAATCTGTCTATACGAGGGTTGATCCAAACCAAAAGTTTGTGGAATTTCTTATATCTAAAATTTTATCGTGATTTGATGAAAGCAAACAACAGGCATATTCAAAATATAAAGTCATAATGCAACAATATTGGAAAATTTCAACACTTTCCAATTACCAATAAGGTCACACGAGCTTCCTGAAAATGGATAGTTGTGAAATCAGGGGGGAGACTTTGATGTTACGTCAAGTTAGATATGCCACATCACATTATAGAAGCATCTCGCCCTAATGTCCAATTTGAATACATAATTCTACAAAATGCTTCCCGTTTCTCCATTTTTTTTGTTTCAAGAAAAGCTTGGGTATCCTCTCGCACCAACTTATCTTCATTTTTCACTCATATTTCAAAATACTACCCATTTTCCATATGACGTTCCAATTTGAATAGCAATTTCAAGAGCAGTACGGCAGCCAACAACATCCATTAACGCTTTTAATTGACTAGAAGATAGGCACTTAAAACAGAGCCCCCAAAAAGCTACCAAACCTTTAATCAATGTCCATGGAAGTTCTATTTTTCTTAAATTTCTTATGCCACTGGAAAACCAGTAACTTAAATGTATTTTTCCCAAGCCTATGTCAATAATATACATGTTTAAGATAGAGTGATCCTGGGATTTTCACAAAAGGTATGACTTGACCGAAATTTGACGTTGTCTAACAACTTAAAGATGAACAATAAATCATCAACTAATAAACTAAATATCAAGTAAAATCAGTAAAAATCTCACACCTCACACAAAGGTTTATAAAAGATCAAAAATCGTAATAATGACATCATTTTTGTTTCATATACCACGTAGGGCGGTTTAATTCTCATTTCATATATTAAAAATTAAAATGATAATAAATGTTTAAATGTCTCCCCCGCATTTCCAAACAACCGTTTCTACGGCAACTGCCATAGAGTTACTATCAAAGATATTTAAAATGTTTTTTAATTTAAAATATTCATCAAGTACGTGTCTTTTTTCATTTGTAATTTTCAACCACTTCCACTTAAAAATTAAAAAAAATATTAAGAAATTCCATGAACTTTTGGATCAACCCTCATATTTAAGTATAAACAGATATTCTAAATATTTGTGCCCACTTTTGTCAAGGTATTTTGTTTTCATGCTTTAAGATTTAAATGTACAGTGCATTATAAAACTGTCTTACCTCTACCCCAAACTTCTGAAGAGCTTCACGTATAACATCAACACATGTCATATCTGAATCAATTTCTATATTTTTGTAACTTCCTGATACCCTGTAAATAAAAGTAATTCAGAATGGTTTATATGTCTTTCATAAATTCAGGAAGGATAGTAAGGCCTTTAGGGAGTCTGACACCCTGTCTATTCCGAGACAAAATTTGTCTCTCAATACATGTCAGATTAGAAAGATTTCACTCTCTTTAGAGAAGCTGTCTAGATTAATTGATTGTAATCCCTGTTCTCAATGTTACTATTTTAATATCAATATGAAAATAAATACATGTATTGTGATTATAAAATCTGCCTTCAGTAGAGTACCTCAGCACTCCTGGATACACTTTGATAATGCCCCTTTCCGAGTCCTGCTCTCTGAAGCGTAAGAAAATGGAGGGTCTTTTGTCTTCTGCGGTCTTCAACTGTGATCTAATGGGACTGTTCTCATCAAGTTCTCTCTCTTCTATCAAATAGAAAAATTATATCAGGTTAAGTTATTCAATTATGTGTACAGAGAAGTCCTTCAAATATGTGTACATTATTCTGAAATTTAAAAGTAAACAACACTTGGAGAAAGCATCTTTCCACAAAAGCTTCTTAAAACAAAGAAAATCAAGTCTTTTGTCAGGATTGAAATTATTTCAACCTCACATTTTCAACAGAAACTTATTGTTTATTATTTTTATGCCCCCCAAAATCTATCTTTCCTGACCATATCATTTGCATGAAAGCAGTGGATCACAGCTGATTTCTTTGGACCATTACCATATACCTGGAGTTGTTTCCCAACAAAGATTTAAGAATCTGTGACCTACCTGTATCTGTCACTTCTGAGACATAGTAGTTCTTCGGATCATCTGATATGTGGAATGTTTTCAGCGATGCTTCCTGTACAAGAAAAAAAGTACCTGTATATAACTTTTAATTTTCAAAATCTGGTTCAAACTTTAATGAAAAATAATTTCTTACTGCCTGATGGTACATGTATATTAAAAATCTTAAGGCATTTAAGTTTTTAGCATCTATGAAAATGTCCGGACAATATGTGCAAAAAGCAATGGAAATTGATATCTGTGTAACCTTTGTGATGTGTACAACTGCTAAACTGAGTGTAACAAAAGAGCAAAAATTCACAATATGTTCACAATATAATTGGTATGCTAACAGACAAATATACCATTTCAGCGAGAGTCATTTTCAAGGTAGATATAAAATGGGAGCTGTATATATTTAATTGCAGTCAAAAGTCTTAGGTAACAATGTTAATTAACAAGAGCTGCTGTTATGAAAAATCCTCATGTTGTCAGTATAGGTGTACAATTTATAATATTGCTGTAAATTGACCTTAATTTGATGACTTTTTCCAGCATCTTATTCAAGCTCAGAAATTATTGTCATGACCTGAATTTCAATCTTTTAAAAACTATGTTGTTATAACTTCATTGTAGCTCACTTTAATATATATAGCCAGATAAACTCACCAGTATACTTTGAAAAGAAGCATTCTTTGGAACAGATACTGTTCTATACCGCTTCTCCTTTAAAGAATTGTCCCCATCATACACATGGAAAACTTCCACTGAAAAAAAAGTACCTTTCATCAGTTAGTGCCAATATCAATTTTTTTTTAATACAGCACATTCTAAGGAAACTGAATTAATGTTTCTCTTCTCAAATTGAGGCCAAACATATGTGACAGAAATCTCACAACCAGGACAAGTCTTGACTCTGCTCACAATCAAGTTTACACTTCACTATACTCACAATCATGGTGAGATTTTACATAACTCACAATCAGGTGAGACTTTACATAACTCACAATCAGGTCGAGACTTGACTCAACTCACAATTGAATCAGAGTGAGACTTGTTCATACTCATATCACTGGGTGTGATTTTACCCAACTCACAATAAAGTTAGGACTACCGGTAGTCTCAAGATCAGGTGAGACTTGATTCAACTCGCAATCAGGGTGATACCTGACTCTACTTACAATCAGAGTGAGACTTGACTCAACTCGCAATCAGGGTGATACCTGACTCTACTCACAATCAGGGTGGGACTTGACTCTACTCACAATCAGGGTGGGACTTGACTCAACACACACTCAGGGCAGGACTTGACTCTACTCACAATCAGGGTGGGACTTGTTTTTACTCACAATCAGGGTGGGACTTGTTTTTACTCACAATCAGGGTGGGACTTGTTTTTACTCACAATCAGGACAGGACTTGTTTTTACTCACAATCAGGACAGGACTTGTTTTTACTCACAATCAGGACAGGACTTGTTTTTACTCACAATCAGGACAGGACTTGTTTTTACTCACAATCAGGGTCTTTATCCTTATCCTTGTATTCCTTCTCACGAGGGGATTTTCTTTCACGATCCTCATCATCATTTTTGGAATCTCCACTGGATGGACAGTCATCAAAAACTGGTTTTACTATAAACATATACACAACACTGAAGATTATGCACTAAAAGTTCTTCTTCCTTCAATTTATATAAGATTTAAGTTCAAACTATTGTAAAACTGTGAAGTATAACCCATATGCTGAGAAACTTTCAATCAGAAATACATATAAAACTTCAAGGTCAAGATAATGGGGTTATAATTCATAAAATATTTGGAGAGGTCTTATCACATTTAATACACATGTTAAATAGAAATGCCCTATTTCTCTCAAAAGTTATCAACAAATAATAATTGTTAAGACCAGGTCAAACTTCAAGGTCAAGGGTTAAAATCCACAGTATATTTGGAAAAGTCTTTTCACAGGCAATGCACAAATTAAATATTAGTGCCATATCTTCTCTCCTTCAGTAGTTGTAGCAATGACAAAATTTCTGAAAATTAAGTCACTCTTCAAGGTTAAGGTAATGCAGACAAAAATCACAGCATGTGTGGAAGCATCTTGTCACAAGTAATCCATAGGTCAAATTTATCTTCTTTCATTCAAAAGTTATAACCATGTATAAATTTTTGAATAGATGGTCAAACTTCAAGATCATCGATTCAAAAATCATGATCTATTTTGAAAAATTGAAAGGTCTTGTCAAAGGTTGTACAACAGGAGAGCCCCATCTCTTTTCATTCAAAATTAATGACCAAGGTTAAAGTTATGTTCAAATATTTGAAATGTAGGTCATACTTCAAAATTAAGATAAAGGATAAAAATTCATAATGTATTTCGAAAGGTCTTGTCCAAGTACATGCAAGATCATCGTCGCAAACCACGGCCAAAATGTACGCTCCTCTCCCATCTGGCCATGGTTGAACAAGGAGAGAATTCTTCGTAGCTCATTAAAATATTGACCAATGCAAGTAAAGCATAGTCGTATGATGAACTTTATCGCGACCTTTCAACATCCAATTGCATTGTAGGAAATATTTCTTGTATACTGTTGACGTCAGTTGTTGCGATGGAAACAAAACTTGCCACCGACTGAATATGACGTCACAATAGAGAGACGTAAATATTCAAGATTACGACACTTTTTGTGCCCAAGCAGCCACGGGTAGGAGAGAGCTATATATGCGGACTCTGGACCGTGGCTTGAGACGATGATGCAAGATATGAAACCATATTTTTTCTCATTTAAAAGTTATGTCCATAGTTTTAAAGTTTTTGTGACAGACGGACAAGATGGACAGACCGACAAACAAATGTTATTCCATGTCCCCTCATTATTGCAAAAGTAGGATATGAAAAAAAAGATAACATTACAGAAATATCTCTAATGGTTTAAGCTAGAACAAGAGCACACCTTCTTTATTGATTTTTTTCCCTACAGATAGTCTCAACAATCAATACATCTCAAATAAATAAAGATTTGTATCATATTTATATTTTTGTACCATATATCAACTATCTTTGTACAACTCCACCTTCATGACTTAAAAAATACATCTCTGAAATAGTTTTTTAAAAAAAAAGCTCTTACTAAGATAGGTATCAGATTCCTCAGAAGTCCCATTTCGACTGCCCTTTTTGGGTTTCGTTTTCTGGGATTTATCTATTTTCTCAGATTCTGGATAGAAAAGTATTTAGTCTTGAGTAAATTAAGCCATTCAAAAATACTCTTAAATCAACTTTACAGATTATCATCTGAAAGGATGAAGTGAAATTAATTACAAGTTCATGTGAAAATGACTGCATTAAACCATCTGGAGATTTCATAATACATGTACCTAGAATTTGCCAAAATTGATCATGCAGAAAGTCCACAATTCAAAGTCCATTTAGACTTTTAAAAATTATAATAAATACATGAAAACCAAACTTCACACAAAAGCATTTTCTACTTAAAATTTGCTTAAATAACATTCCTGTTTTTAAAATTAGATCTTTGAAAATGTTGTTCAAAATAAAACTGTGGATAGATTAACAAAGTAGAGCTACAAAGCATTTTTATAATGTTTCTTAGTAGTACTAGTCAAACGGTTGAAGACATTAAGACCAGACCTTCAGGGGTCCTGACACTGATTCCAAGGATTTTGTCCATACTGATGTTTATTCTGGGAACAGTCAAACAGCTGGGGGGCAGCATGATTTCCCGTAAACTTCCAAAGTTACACTCCGCTGGAAGAAGTCTGTAGCAACTAGCATGGGACTGGAATCATAGAGCAACCATTTACAATACAAAGTAAAACAATTCTTACATCATCTAAAAATACTCATTTTGTACACTGAATCTTGTGTACCACTTTGATCCCCTATAATGGCACACACTATCCTTGAGTGTAATGATTTGAACAAAACAAAGAATGATATGCTTCTGTCTTCTTCACTCTCAGTAGATTGACAAAAATATGTGTCTGACTTTTTCAAAAACGTTTGCTTGTACTCAATCCTCCTTCATAAAATGCCAATCATACCTAAATATGAAATAGAAGATAATGTTGCTATTTCAGAATTATCTCCCCTTGAAAGAAAGTTTGACCTGTCAACTGAACAAATCTGAATCTAAATTACCCAAAGATAATTACAGCAAATTGGTTAAAATTTGACAAGTTGTACTAGAGAAGAAAATCAAATGTCAAAAGTTTACAGTCATTGCACAGCATTTACTTGGAGTTCACTACTTTTCTTATTGCAAGTACATGTATCATGTTTTCCTTAGAAGTCTAACAGATCATGAAACAATCCCAGGCAGTATTATTCATACAGGGCATACATCTTTGTATTAAAATTGACTTTAAAAATGATAAAAATTTAACTAACACAGTCTTCGAGCCATGCAAAACCTCAAGTGTGTCATTGCCCATCAAATTCTAAATCAAATTTAACATACCATATAAAAAACATATTAACATTTGTTAAAGTGTGTACCTTTAGCATTAAATAAGAAGTAATTTGCCAGTACATACCGTGACTCCACACCACTCACAGCGCATGCCAGCCATGCATTCCGAGGACCAGCAAGTCTTTTTACAGGCCACACATTTGGAATTCGCTGGCAAGTTCCCCTCCCTCCAATGGTGGTATTGCACTATATTTTGTTGCTGTAAATAAACAGAGGGTGTACTATTCTTATTCAGGGACTGATCAATGTTATATTGACTAATATTTTTTATTATTGAAGGGATGCTCCTAGATTTGAATACCCACTTAAGATAAGCTGGGAATAGGCCTACATATTATGCTAAATCAGTCAGTAGAGCACAGAAAGTCCATTAGATTCAGTCCCTGATGCATATTTCAGATTCAGCATTCGAAGGTGTGTCATGTGATATGTATGCAAGTTTGGTTATGTTTTATACTGTGCCAAAAACAATCAAATGCTCAGTCTTTTGATCCCAAATCAAATTATCTCCCTCTAGCCAGTGAATTGCCAGTTACTTTTCTGAAACATATGGAACTACAAAGTCAAAATATAATTCTCCATACATATGATAAATATACATTGTCTCCTCTATTTTTACTACATCCTTGAACTTCTGACCCACACCTCAAGCTACTTAGTACCTATCATCTTCAAAGCTTGAAATTGATTCTGTTCATATTGTGTGCCCAAAATTGGATGCTTAGAGACTAATCATTGTGTTTAACTTGAACCAATTAGACAAATATAGTTTACCAGTCCATAGTGACAATGTCAATGTTGAAAACTTATTGTTCCAAAACATACCACTCATAAAAACCACTAAAACAAACATTTTTGTCATGCTTGGTGTTATTTTTATGCAAATGTACAAGGTATCAGGTAATAAGAACCATGGAGATTATCCCAAGCAGACAAATTAACCAATGAAATCTCAACAGATGCAAGTTGACTAGAAAGGCTTTCTTATAACAGATTTGCCTGAATTTATGCTTATACAAAATGCAAATAAAAAAATTCTAAAATACTTAGAATTTGTAAACTTTTCCATGATTTTCAAACTATGCAACTTATTAAATTTATTAATTTTCCTTACATAATCTTGTAACATGTTGTAATGTGGCTTTACTTGTCATTTTGATAATTTCTGATGAAAGTTCTTTTATCGTCTGTCTTTAACCCAAGACTGACAGAAAATTATAAATCACATATTTTACAAAGTTTCGAGCATCCTGCATCAGCAGAAATTCTTTAAATAGCAAAGATTATGATTTGCACATCAATAAGAAAAAAAATAAATTACTAGGAAAGTAATTGTCCTTAGCTTTGGATATGTGTTTACGATATATATAAATATCTATTACATACGCCAACTCGATCATTGTCAGGGGTGTAGGTGGCACATTCCTTACAGTTGCTGACCACAAAGTCTTGGCAATCCACATGGGCATAATATTCACACACTATAAAATTTGTGAAAAATAGTGCATTAAACTTGCTTCATTTGAATGCTGTCTGTTTAAAGTCAAAATTCAACGTGTATAAAATAAGTTTAGAGGCTATAGACTTACATTCACATCTGATTGCGGGACTGTCCTCCAACCTCTTGCGACACACATCACAGAATTTACGTTTGAAGATGGAGGGTGTTGAGAAGCAGTGTGCCACAGGATTCTTGATCAGGGTCGTGGCAATACTGGAGCATGCAGATACCACTAATTTCAGACATCGCTCATGGACCACAAAGTTGCAAACTAAATTAATGGAAATATTATGTAGTACAGACTTTACAGTCAAATCAAAAAGAACAAGAGATGTTTGTAAAACACTTTATGTCCCCCTAGCTCCCCCACAAATTGGAATTTTTCTAAGTCCAAAAGGGCATAACTCTGTCAAAAATGGTGTGATCATACCCAAAACAAAACTTGACCTAGATATTCATCTGACTAATCTGTATACTAAATTCCATTTCAATATGTGCAACCTCTCCAAAGAAAATGAACGGAAACTGCAAATAGTTGGAATTTTTCTAAGTCCAAGGGGTATAACTCTGTCAATAATGCTGCGATAGTACCCCAAACAGAACTTGACCTAGATATTCATCTTATAAATCCATATACCAAATTTCATTTCAGTATGTGCAACGGTTGTGAAGAAAATAATAATAATAATAATAATAATAAATACTTTATTTAAAGAAGGTAACCTGGTTAGTGCATGCACTATTCTTCCCCAGGGCCTTCTATATATATCAAATACAAAAATATACAGAATACAATTCATCATATATAATAGTAATATGTTTTAGGAATTATAATCACACGATTATAAATATAGTGTCCATGTATATTTAATTAACAATCATAATACAATATACAATATCGAAACCTTATTGTGCTCAAATAATTGTGCGGCAGCTGATGATGTAATTTTCTATATTACGCTTAAATGTTCGTAGTGATTGAGAGAGTCTAATGTGTTGGGGAAGTTTATTCCACAGATGTACACCTGAATACTGAAAAGATGTCTTGAATAAGTTTGTACGAAATTTCGGCAGTCTTAGATCATAATTACTTTCAGATCGAAGGTTATAAGAAGATGTTGAATGAAATTCAAATAAATTACAAAGATATTGGGGAGTCGTTCCACTGAAATGAACGGAAAGTAAATGGACCAACAGAACGAACGACAGTCCAACAGCAGCAAAGCAATATGCCCTTCCTTCTTCGAAGGGGGGCATAAAAACTGAGATATCCGACAAATTGAGATGTTGAGGGTAAAATACTAAGAGAATAACTAGTTGGAACTTCAAAATCACTTTGACATATCCATTGTATTCAAGATATCAGTGTTCAAGATACCTAAGTTCAGTGAACTTCTAACAAGTATAATCTTCTATTTTACTTATCTATGGTACAACTGCTAAGTAGAACAAAAACATTAGATGTTTGTAAAACACTTATGCCCCCTCCCCGCAATAATTGGAAGTTTTTCCAAGTCCAATGGACATAACTCTATCAAAAATGGCTTTATCGTACCCAAAACAGAACTTGACCTAAATTTCATTTCAGTTCGTGGAACCTCTGCAAAGAAAATGAATGGAAACTGCAAAAATTGGAATTTTTCTAAGTCCAAGGGGCATAACTCTGTCAAAAATGGCTTAATCATACCCAAAACATAATTCGACCTAGATATGAGCAATGGTTGTGAAGAAAATGAACTGACAGACAGCAGCAAAGCAATATGCCCTCCCTTCTTCTCCTAACTTATTCCCATTAAAATTTTGTGAATATGACTTGAATTTGCCCCCCCCCCCCCCCCCCATTAAAAAACAATACAAAATCAAAGTACTCAGTACAGAGAGCCGGGCTCATTTACAGAGTAGAATGAATTTCTTACATGAATCACATCTATATTCTGATGAAAAAAAATATTTTAAAACTATATATATAAATGATAAGGCACTGACAGTGAGTTTTTCAATCCTAATACAATGAAGCGCATTGAAGTGGTAAAATTTTCCATTTGGATGAAACGTTCTGAGTCATGTTTTGAACGTCAATTATAACATTACGACACGCCCACTTCTTTAGAAACGAGAAAGGAATATTCGTCTTAATGTTTTAGGACATTACACATTCCGCAAAAACAACATGAGTTACACTGAAATTAAGATTTTTAAATAAGAAAGAGAGATAAAGAGTTTCCGCTTATATGTAAAACACGCATTGAAACGATTTTGTACATAATTATGATTTTTTTGTGTTTATTGGAGTTAGCATAGCACATGTATCAGTCGAACACGTGCTTACTCGGTGTTTATGTAGACCTTCAATTTCATTGGCTATTCTATTTATGAAATACCTGTTCTAAAGGTATTAAATTGAATCATTTGACCGATTTTTCCTTTCTAAAGAAATGGGCATGTCTAAAGATAGCTCAAAACGTTCCATCCAAACAGAAAATTTTACCACTTCAATGCGCTTCATTGTACCACGGTCCGATTTTGTCAGAATCAGAATTAATCTGGTACTGCAGCTGAATGTAAACAAACAGGCTAGTCTGGTTCCCTCTCCTGTTTTTCCTCGTATGTGTGGAGAACTACGATAACACTGATTATCAAAAATCCTTGTAAACGCTAATGAACTATGTTCTTTAACTTAGGACTGAAGTTTTCAAAGTCATTACTACTAATGTTTACATGTATTTATATAGATAAACAGTGATTGGGATAAGCTAGGGAGTAAATGTGACAATGGCGCACCCCAAGTCAGTGTCAATGTGACATTTCAAAATTCAATGCGCCAAACAGACTTTTTAATGGGACATTTCCTAGTTACAAATTTGCAATTGATTACTTGCTGTTTGAATTTCAGTTGACTTTACTTAATTGAAATTGTCAAATTATTGAATGACGACATTAAAAGAGTGTCAGAAAATAAATAAACACTGCAATTTAATTTCAATTCTTTATTTTTTGTGTCCGATGTTTGACATCTTTAAACTGATTTAAAGCCTGGTTTAGATCTATACTGCTTCCCTCCAATTTATGTTCAATTTTCGTTTTGGTTTTTCCTCCGAGACTACATCATCAGTCTTACCGTCAGATTTATCTCCATTCGTTCTGTCAGCATGTTATACTTCTTCCGAGTCATTTTGTAGCGATTTACTTAAATTTGTTTGTTAGGATTGTGAAAATTAAGAAAAAGTCTGTCCTTTATCGGTACGAGGTATTTTCTTAGGCAGCATGCTGCACTCCTGACACCAGTTTATTTCGTGCCCGTTAGCCAATCAGAAAACACGTAACTGTTTGATTAGATACTGGAGAAACGAAAGTCATACGAACGCTTTAACTGAACGATGTAAAACACTGTTTTTATTTCAAGCGTAAATTGACAGCGATTGTTATGGGAAAGACTACAAGCGCTTGGGGGAAAGCTCAAAGTTTAAAAGTATGCAGTGCATTATATGCGCCACGATGGCGCAGCGTTTTTAATTTTAATGTGACATTTTAAAATTTAATGCGACTATGGCGCAGGGCGCGTGCTTATCCCAATCACTGGATAAAACTTCGTTGCATTTTTGTTGCTTTATTTAGAGTTTGTAATATCTCAAAAGCGGTTGAGAGTAAGAACTATATTTTTTGCACGTAACTTTAAAATGGCGACTATGGGGCTGACTTCCTGTCTTGAACAGGATGACATAAGCTGGCAATTGCTCTTTGAGCAATAAGCTCGGCTAACAAAAATAAAAACTTGAAAAAAAAAAAAGACACATCCTCTTGACATTAGTAACCTCTCAGTGAATTTTGGAAATGCAATGTTTATCCCTTAGAAAATTATAAACCTTTTATGAATTTTACACCTTTGATACAAGTGACCTTGAACTTGCCATAGTGACCTTGCCAAAGTTGAGACACACTCTCAGGTCGAAAACAATCTCTGTGCCTGGTAAGAACTTCCAGTGATTTTCCATTACAAAGTAGCAGCCCAAATTAAAAGAATTTTATACTTTTTTGCCGTTGATCTCCAACTTGCCAGAATGAGCTGGTCAAGATCTGAGGCCTGTTCAACAAAGTGAACGTTTGCAAGCACTCGCCAAAATTCCTTATACCTCCAACAGAAATGTTCGTGAGCGCTCACTCTGTTGAACAGGCCTCAGGTCATACACTTGGATAACAAGCAATCTTTGTACCAAATATGAGCTTTCAGTGATTCATGTCACACCCTTGTTTGATAAGCATTTTGTGAACCAAGTCTGAGCTTTAAGTGGTTCTCCACATAACTTCTAAAATCTATAGCTTTTGCCAGTGACCATGAATTTGCTAAAAGTCCTTAGATCAAGGTCATGACATGCTCTTACTTCATAGGAAATCATTGTAAAAGTCGGCGCTTCTAGCATTTCTCCTAACAAAGTTATATCCAAAACAAGTTTGCACGGACAAACAGACAGATGGACAACATATATCCTTTATATCCCTAAAAACAAGTTTGCACAGACATACAGACAGACGGACAACGTATTTCTTATATATCCCTAAAAACTTTGTTCACAGGGGGTACATGTATAACAAGGAGTCTCTGATGAGACTGTAGCTTAAATAATTTGTCTTTATCGTTAGGAAAATAAATGCAAGACCTGGACTCGAAAATGTAGCAATTGCAGCATCATGAATGATCCGTGGTTAAGTTTACTTGGGCAGAGCTGTGGAAAATTTTTTCAAAAAGCCAGTCATTCGGACCGGCAAAAAGACAAGATATGCCAGTCCGAAGTGATTTTTGCCGGTCTGAAATAGTAAGTTGCAAAATTAAAAAGAAAAGCATAACATTTATTTTCTTAATAACACTTTACTTAATAATAACATTCAGTCTCCGTTTTCATTTTTTGCATTTATTACAATACTAGATTTCATCACTTTTGGGCATGTGTCAATGATAATTCTGCATAGTAAACGTAATGTTTTTAAAACGTGAATGCATTTGCAAATATATTTTACCTCGAAAACGAGTCTAAAAAATTCTGTGCATCGATAATTAAGATACCACCATCAAGAAATCGATGAAAAAAAATACTAAATCTGGGACAATCGGGAACGACGGAAGTACTAGGTTTACCGCTTTCCTTAACTGTGTTTGAAATTTTTCTTTAGAAATGTTTTACATACCCAGGTATTTAGCCTGCCTTTATCTTTAAATTTTTTATGTTTTCTACTAATTCTGTCCTATTTGTAAATTTAAAAGGTTACGCGAGACATGCTGGTTTCGCTTTCCTTTCCTATAGCCTAGATCTCGTGCAAAGAAAAAGTATTGTGCAATCGTATATAAGGTACAATAATTAAGCTGGGAAATGCGCCGATGATAGGCCTGAATTAAAATGGAAAAAACCAAAAACCTTTAACAAAGACAGAGATTGGTCATTTGGACCGACATTGATAGCATTTTTACCGGTCACAGGCATTTTTTGCTGGTCTTGCCGGCATGAATGGCAGTTTTCCACAGCTCTGCTTGGGTATCAAGTTTCATTAAATCAGGTCATAAACATAAGAGGAACAAGAGATGTTTGTAAAACACTTATGCCCCCTCCCCCCCCCCCCCCCCCAAATTGAAATTTTTCTAAGTCCAAGGGGCACAACTCTGTCAAAAATGGCTTGATCGTACTCAAGACAGAACCTGACCTAGATATTTATCTGATAAATCTGTATACTAAAATTCATTTCAGTATGTGCAACCTCTGCAAAGACAATGAACGGAAACTGCAAATAATTGTAATTTTTCTAAGTCCAAGTGGCATAACTCGATCAACAAGAGGCCCATGGGCCACATCGCTCACCTGAGAAGCTTTGACCATTCTGTTCTTTACCAGATTTCCCCCTTGTAATACATAATGCATCCCCACCCTACCCCACTGATCATAATTTAGACATTTTGAAATCTACACTAACCCAGGATCCTTCCATGTGCACATAAGTTTCAGCTTTTCTGGCCCAGTGGTTCTTGAGAAGAAGATTTTCTAAGATTTTCCTATATATTTCTATGTAAAACTTTGATTCCCCATTGTGGCCCCGCCCTTCCCCCGGGGGTCATGATTTGAACAATTTAAAATCTACACTACCCAAGGATGCTTCCACATAAGTTTCAGCTTTTCTGGCCCAGTGGTTCTTGAAAAGAAGATTTTCTAAGATTTTTCCTATATATTTCTATGTAAAACTTTGATTCCCCATTGTGGCCCTGCCCTTCCCCCGGGGGTCATGATTTGAACAATTTAGAATCTACACTACCCCAGGATGCTTCCACATAAGTTTCAGCTTTTCTGGCCCAGTGGTTCTTGAGAAGAAGATTTTCAAAGATTTTTCCTATATATTTCTATGTAAAACTTTGATTCCCCATTGTGTCCCCGCCCTTCCCCCGGGGGTCATGATTTGAACAATTTAGAATCTACACTACCCCAGGATGCTTCCACATAAGTTTCAGCTTTTCTGGCCCAGTGGTTCTTGAGAAGAAGATTTTCAAAGATTTTTCCTATATATTTCTATGTAAAACTTTGATTCCCCATTGTGTCCCCGCCCTTCCCCCGGGGGTCATGATTTGAACAATTTAGAATCTACACTACCCCAGGATGCTTCCATATAAGTTTCAGCTTTTCTGGCCCAGTGGTTCTTGAGAAGAAGATTTTTTAATGACCCCACCCTATTTTTGTCTTTTCTTGATTATCTCCCCTTGTGATGGGAGTTAGCCCTTTATTTTAACAATTTAAATTCTCCTTCACCCAAGGATGCTTTGTACCAAGTTTGGTCAAAATTGACCCAGTGGTTCTTGAGAAGAAGTCGAAAATGTGAAAAGTTTACAGACAGACGGACGGACGACGGACAAAATGTGATCAGAAAAGCTCACTTGAGCCTTCGGCTCAGGTGAGCTAAAAATGGCGCAATCATACCCAAAACAGAATTTGACCTAGATATTTATCTGATAAATCAGTATACTAAAATTCATTTCAGTATGTGCAACCTCTGCTAAGAAAATGAACAGAAACTGCAAATAAATGAAATTTTTCTAAGTCCAAGTGGCATAACTTGGTCAAAAATGGCGCAATCATACCCAGAACAGAACTTGACCTAGATATTCATCTGATAAATCAATATACTAAATTTCATTTCAGTACTTGCAAAGGTTGTGAAGAAAATGAACGGAAACTAAGTGGACTGACAGACCAACCGACAGACAACAGCAAAGCAATATGCCTTCCCTTCTTCGAAAGGGGGCATAAAAATTATGGTAGCCTTGTCACCCTTTCCAAAAGTGTTATAAAATGGTAGAGGACTTGAAAAGAGACTGAATGTTAATCATTTTGAAGTAAATACTGTATACAAGTTATTTTCGCCCCATGTTATTTTTGCCCTTTTACACTTACGAACAATGATGCCCTGTTTTTAATTCGTCCAGTCACTGTTCTGTTTAAGAATTAATGGTGTGATCTTTAAATTTGCCGTTTTAAATTCGCCCACTTGAGACAAGGGCAAAAGGGGTGAAAATTTTCCTGTATACAGTAGATGTTATTCTTTTTTTTTTTTTCATATTTTGCGAGTTTATCTTTTGAACCAAGCTGAAAACTTTTGAGCTGAAATCATTTCAGACAGGGTTATTATCTCTTCTTGCCAGGTCCAAATGACTGGCTATCTGAAGAAGTTTTCCACAATTCTGATGTCATAAGAAAAATTAACTTGAATCTTCACTACCTGTATGAGGATTCTTCCATGCTAATGTTCATGACTGGTCATGACTTTGTTCTTAAGCAGATGTTTATAAAATTTTTGTATAATATATTCCTATGTAAAACTTTCATTGCCTATTGTGAACCCACCTTACCCAATGGGGAAATGAATTGAATAATTCTAAATTTACACTATTGTACCTGGTGATGCTTCCAAATAAATATGATTTAACACTGGCTTTGTTGTTCTTGAGAAGAAAAATTTTTTTTTTAATCATACACAAATGTAAAAAAATTTTTTACACATGGTGACCCAACTCCTGATGGTCATGATATAAACAAACTTAAATCTGTAGTTCTGTACCGTGTCAGGAGGCTTTCATGTATTCTATTTTTTTTTATTATTACTATTTATTTAAAATTATTATTATTTTTTACAATTTCTTAATTATCCCCCCTTTGAAAAAGGTGTGACTCCTTATATGAACAAACTTGAAACTACCCGTAGTTTATCTAAGGATACTCTGTGCCAAGATTTTACTTGAAATTGACCAAGTGGTTTTGGAAAAAAAGCTGAAATTGTAAAAATCTTACTACCCAGTATAATGACAACAAAAGACATTGGATGGACAAATTTTGATCAGAAAATCTCACTCCAGGTGAGAGAAAAGGTTAATGATGACGACGCTTACAACAACGATGAGAGACAAAATAAAACTCTCAAATGAGCCTGTTTCCCAAGGGCCTTTAATGTCTACTAGGTATTTCGTATAAATTCATTTCCAATCTTGGTTGAATAAATTTCAAAACTTTACAAATTTAACCTCACTTTCCACTTTTTAAGTTTTTATTCTCTCAGAGAAAATCAAAATTTATTTTATTTACTTTATTGCACATAATGTGTGATATTCACAAAACATATGTTACAAAATATGAATGGGTTACTCAACAATATATCAGAGGAGTTTAGCGAACCAGGTTTTTTTTTTTTTTTTTTTTTTAAATCCCCATTTGGACTCGAGCTGAAAGTTCAGTTAAGTTTCAAAGCTTCCTCTGTTGTAACTTGTAGACTTCTTTCTATTTCTTTCTACATATACCGTGCATATTTATCATACAGTAAGAAATCTTCCACATTTTTACTTGTACTGTTCCTTGTAATTAATTCGCATGATTAGTTTAAGTTAATATACTTTGAAATGTTAAAAGGATCTCTGTCTGCCTGTTCAGGTTACCAAACTGTTGCCAATAATAATATAAATCAAAATAGCACCTTTAGTCCTTAATCATGTTTAAAATACTGAATTGTCAAAATCTGATCAGAAAACTGTTTATAAGGATTGATAAAATTTTCAAGTCAGAAAAATCTAAGTTATGTAAATTAAATGTTTTAATATTCAGGTCAAGCTCCATAATTTTCTTTCCATACTTTACTAACTTTTAATAAGGACTGGGGAAAGTTTGATGAATTTCTTTTATAAATCCCTAAATTTGACTTTTCCTGATGACCTTCACATGTGTGATGAGCTTTAGTCATAAAAAAAAAATGTTTCTTAATATATCAACGTTTTCTCTTTTACTCTATGACCTTAGTTTCAAATGCTGACAGAAAATGGAAAAATGAAACTAAAAATAAATTTTATTTCATGCTTATATTCATCACTAATCTACACCCTCTAAATACACTGCTCAGATGCACATATGGCTTACAGTTTTTAAATTTATATGAGGGTATTGATCTGCCTTCATGTCAAACAAGGAATGTGAAGGTTATGTGAGATAGAAATCTGCTTGACATTTGATCAATACTTCCAGCATATTGCTAAATCTAATGTGATTATCTGTACTTTTAAATTACAGATATTTTGTGAAATAAAAGGTAAACTGTAAATCATCTGATAGTATAATGCCATGTTATAAAATCATGTGAAATGAATTGTACAACAAAACATATATGCTAATATTTTATTTTTCTTATGATATGAAGATATGGCCAATATGTTTGCGCTTATAATACTCTCTCCCTCCACTTGGTCTAACCAAGAAAAAATCGTTGACAGCGAGCAATGAGGCTTCATTCGAGATGTTTACATTAGCTGCTTATTTTGTCAGTACACCAGCGCTGTAGTGTATTGATCGTTAGCATCGAGAAACGTTTCAGCGTATCGCATCCACCGGTCAACTACAGAGACCTTGCCTACCCTGCAATAATATCCACATGTCCATTTTCTCTCTCCAACATTAAAATTTGATCATTCAAATACGATATTTCACCTAAATTTCTTTATTTGTTTTGTTTTGACGGTACATTTTGCACCTGCAACCGAAAAGCTCATCCGCCGTCATAATAAATTAATGCAGCCGTTATTTCTTACCTTCGCAAACATATCCCTGGCCTATTAGGCCCCAGAGCATCAGGGTGCAGTGGTGGCAATACGTAGGCTTGTGAAATGTCTTTTTAATGAACGAATGGCCGTGACCCTGTTCATTTTCAATCATATAGCCGGACGACTTGTCTTCTTCTGCACCACCTCCATCGACTGTATTCTCCATTGAAAGACACACTCTTCGTCTACTTAATCGAATACATGGCATTTATACTTCGCTAATTGAAACCGTAAACTTGGAAGGGATACGCCGTCCAACATACAACTTGCCAACGTGCACATAGTTAACGTGACAGCCTGAAAGTTGTCACACCATTGAAATCTTTCGTGAAATATTCCACCATTTCTATAGAACAGGCAAATCACGGAAATGAGGATGGATATCGAAATCGAGGCTAGATGAAACTACTCCGCGAAGCACAGCTCTCATTGCTGCTGAGGCTGGAACATCATTGATTTTTTTTTTCGAAGGACTTTATTTTGATTATATTATAACGCAAACTTTAGCTGCCGTTTTTAGTGAAAGATTAGTTAAAACAAACGTTGTTTCTAACATTGAGAGGATCAAAAATGTTATACTGAGTAATTTTCCAATTATGAATCGGTTTTATCAATTTATTTGCATGTAATATATTCAAAATGGGCGGATCTAAGATTTTTCCAGGGGGGGGGGGGTTACCATATCAACTCTTAACGTAAGAAATGTTAGGCTTTATTGACAGGTAAACAAACCTTTCTCAGCACAACAGAAAATCCATTTTCATGGGTGGTGGGGGTGGCCGGTGATGGGGAAGTAGTCAATGATGGACGAGTCTCCTTACCAATTCTAAAAGCAGAAAAGGAGTTCGTGTTTTCTAGAAGGGGTACAAATTGAATTTTTTCGTAAATTCATCATGGAAATTCCATTGCTTTGTAAATTCCTCAGTCGTCCAGACACCCCTCCTTTTGTGTCCCCCTTTCTGGATCCGCCCGATTTTTTTGTTGTTGTTGTTGTTACAAAAAGGTTTCCTTTCATGCACATTAAAATACACCGTTTTTTAAATTGTTTCTTATCATCTCTTTATAACAATCATATAAATTGATGCAGCAAAGATTGAGTTCTTAAAATTGCAACAAATTTCAAGATAAATATCCTGAGGTCAAACATTATCAAATACATAAGAACTTGTTACAGGTAATGCACGTGAAAAAATATGCACATCCTAGCTGTTATTTCTGAAGCAAAAGTTATGACCCAAGTTGAACATTTTGAATATCTATAGGCACAATATCTAGGTTAAAATTCATAAAGTCAAAAATGTTAGCTTTTTCGGAAATGTGTCGTCACAGGTAACGTTCATATAAAATACAAAATTCCAGGCTTCTCTCATTCAATGTAAATTTTGTATTTACTGCTACCCGGTAAATTCAAAATTTACAACATGACATAAAAATTATCACCAATGTTAAAAAGGTATTTCAAATATCAATGACGAGGCACATTGTCGAAAATCATAGAATATGCTGAGAATGGTTTTGTGACTTTTGTCACACATACTGTACATGCCAGGTATGAACATCGTACATTGTATCAGGATCCTCTCTCACTTAAAAGTTTTTCCTCTAAACATTAAACTTATTACTGTAATGTTCATTGACAAGCCAGTTGTCCTTTTTCACTTTTTGTTGCAGTATCACAGTATTGTTAAATCAGGGTAATGTACATGTATGAAACAGAGTAAAATTTGGTTCTGAGAGAAGCCTCTTCCTGCCCCTGTCCTTTGCATCTTCCCTCGCTGATGCCCAGCTATTCCATCCCAATTCAACTGCACTAGGCCTAACCAAACCGAAATTGTTAATAGCACTACCTTGTATGTACAAGTATTAATTACTGCATATGTATTGCATGTGTTAACGTTCAGAGCGGAAGTTATGCACTAAATTGAAAATAGTCTTGTTTATTTATTTATTTTAATGCGCCCGAATCGATAGATTCGGAGCGTATAGTGTTTTTGTCCTATCTGTCTGTTTATCTGTTTGACTGTCTGTTGTCAACTTTAAGCTTCGCCATAACTTTTGAATTGTGAGAGATAGAGACTTCATATTTGGTATGCACACTCCACTAATTATAGCACTTTCAACTGATACCAAGGTCAATGACCTTGTGACGTTGACTGTGACCTATATGCTAAAAATATCTTTTTCGAACTTTTGCCATTACTTTTGAACCAAAGGAGACAGAGTCTCCATATTTGGTATGCATACTCCAATAACAAGCTCTTTCAAATAACTCCAAGGTCAACGACCTTGTAACCTTGACTGTGACCTATATGTTAAAGATAGCTTTTTTGAACTTTCGCCATTACTCAGTATTTTAGAACCATAGAAGATAGAGTCTTCATATTTGGTATGCATACTCCACTAATCAAGTTCTTTCAAATGCCAACAAGGTCAATATCATCTTGTGTCCTTGACTGTAACTATATGCTAAAAATAGCTTTTTCGAACTTTTGCCATAACTTTTGAACCATAGGAGATATACTTCATACTTGGTATGCATACTCCACTAATCAAGTGCTTTCAAATGACACCAAGGACAATGATCGTGTGACCTTGACTGTGTATATGTTAAAAATTGCTTTTCGAACTTTGCTGTCGACGGGCGCATAGTGTTTCACAAACACATCTTGTCTAAATGAACTTTTGACGTTAAATTTTGTTCACTCAAACTCTGTTCCAACCCCTAGCGCAGGACATACAAAGTACATACAAGTCACTGGCGGATTTAAAGGGGGGCGTGGGGGGCGCACCCCCCCCTCCCTTAAAATTTTCAAAGTATGATATGACTAGTATTAATAATGCCGCACTTTGGTACATAACTATAAGCAATGCCACCATCATTTTGCCTGGTTTTACTCTTAAAATGCACGAAAACCCAGGAGCTTCCTGGGGCTTCGCCCCTTGGGCCCCCACCATTCAAAGTATGACATGACTAGTATTTATAATGCCGTACTTTGGTACATAACTAACCTGAATACTAGTGCACTATTATTATGCTAGGTTTTACTCTTAAAATACACGAAAACCCAGGAGCTTCCGGGGGCTTTGCCCCATGGGCCCCTCCAGGGCTTCGCCCTGGACCTACTGGGGGCCTTAAGACGGTCCTCAGACCCCCTGCCTGAACGAACTTATCCACATCCCCCCAAGTAACAAATCCTATTTATGCTGTACTCGAATGGATCAACTTCCATGAAATACATTTGGTAAACAAAGCTCTTCGTGTTTAATATCATGGAATTCTTAATAAAATAATGATTATTATAAAAATGGAATAAGAATGCGTCGCAAAAAGAAATAATTAAAAAACGCAAATTATTATGGATGACTACACTGTATGCATCAAATACTGTTTATTATCTCCATATATATATATCATATAGTTAAGTAGATCGTAAAATGATGTTTGTGTAGACGATTTATTATCTATCTGAGAATTAAATTAATTTTAATATACTTCCAGAGAGTCCATACCTTCTTTAATTTCATCTATTTTTCAATTATATACGTCAACAAATCGGAAGTAATCAATAATTTGATTTTTTTTTAGGATGCATGCAAATAATCATGAGGTTATATTTACAAAAGATTGAATCAAATGAAAGATTTATTTTCTTGACCTCCACCTCCCGGCTGAGAAAATGAATTGATATGAAATGATGGAATGATGGATATGTTTCTCTTTAACTTCAAATATTTAGGTAACGCATGCACATTTCAGAAGCATTTGGGTATGTATCCTCCTCCCACTTTCCTTTTTATCCCACCGTAATCGAAAATGAGGGGTACAGATATGCTTTTGTTTCGTCTGAATGCCTGTTCATCTGCAAAAACTATGACTTTTGATTGGTTTGCAGCTACGGCTTTAATATTTCCTGTAAAATGGCCTTCCTCTGGGTATGGATGTGACCTCTTGACCTTTGAGGTTACGTTATACCTATAACATTTAATGTCTATGAGAAAAGGTGCTGGGGTTGATCCAAGATTTGAATGAAATTTGGAGATAACTAAAAGTATCAAACTTCAAAGTCCACTAAAAAAATACAAATAGGGAACAGAGCAAGCACGGACCTCTAAAATCTTCAGAAGTAGGATCAGATGTCGTGGAGGATTAAACATCCCCTTTCGACCGGTCACACCCGTCATCTGCCCCTGTCATGATCGGATAGTCAGGAAAATATGTAGACATTTAAGTGTGTGAAAAATTGCATAACAATTTTATGAAAAAGGTCAGTCAGCAGTTGTAGACCGGTGGTAATCGGTGGTAATCCGTGGTGTGAGCGATGCCCCAACATATCGGTCCACATCAGCCTAGTAGTCCTTAAAGTATCAGTCACATTATCCAGCGATGGGGTATACGATGGGCAACCAATGCGTTTTTTGGATAAAAATGTTTTGGTTGCCGGTCGGACTTACAAAGTCCCAGCGATGCATTGCTATTCATAAAACGATGTCCCAGGGTAATCGGCCAATGTATATTGCATCGCTCATCGTTCGTACGTCGGTCGACTATGGGCCAATGTTTGGTCGAACATCGACCGATCATCGGTCTTTGTCTTTTGCCCACCACTCAACCCCCTGATGACCTCAGATTCAACGGACACTTGATGATGATCGGCCAGTCCTTGAAAGATGTTTTAATGCTGGGTTGCCGATGAGGAGCTATGTGGGGCATCGGTGTAGACATCGCTGATTTTTAACTACAACTTATTTTCTACCGATGACCCACACCGATTCGCCAAATGGCCTCAGTCACCGTCCGATTACTTCAGGTGACTGATACTTAATACCTTAGTCACATTTCCCGGTCAGAGAGAGACGTTACCAATTTAAAAAAAAAATATCCATTTCCATTGACATACACACTCATATTGCTGATACTTCGAGGATGCGATTCGACTACGTACGTCAGCGAACCAAACAACCTCAATGTAAAATTGCTGCCTCTTTTTTAAAAAAAACTATCTCACTTATAATTAAACCAAAAGTTTATTTAATATGTACTCTATACTCAGGCTGCACATATTTTTTTCTTGGGGAAGGGGGAGGGTTACATCAACTCTAACAAATATCACACTCAGAACTTTGTTGATAAGCACAAAAAAAAGAACTTTCAAAACTTGAAAATCCTTTTTCGTGCGTGATTGTGTGGTTTATTGTAGACATTTCCCTTAGACCATTCTCTTTATATTCTCCTGTACATTTTTATAAGTGTTTCTGTTTCTTTGGGATCAGGCGTGTGTTTCCAAAATCATTTTTTCAATAAATTTGGAAATTTAAGGCCTTATACTCCAGGTGGGTGGGTGGGTGAGGGGGGGGGGTTGGGTGAAAATACACGAATTCTTTGAAAATCTTCTTCTCTGCTCCTAGGTATTAAATAAACCCACATGCTAGATCCATTCATGTTAATTACCACCACGTTAGGATTATACTTTGTTAAACATCAATAGGATTTACAAATGCTAAAAATTGTAAATTTTTATGGCCACCAGGGTCAGGGGTTCTGGTGTTAGGGAGGGTTCTATTGATTATATACACTATGTATCACTCTTTGTCTATTGATAGGTCGCTAATCTATCATTTTACAAAAGATAAGTTGTAATAACTTAATGGTACATTTGTCATGTCATTGATGGACAATTTTAGTACAATTGCCAATTTGTTATTAGATAAATAGAAACACAGAAGAAAGGAGGGTCTTAACTGAATTAAAATTCTGAAGATTTATGTCGAGAAAAACTGCTTCGTTTGCCAAAAAGAATTAAGAATTAATACTTAGAATTAAGTACGTGCTGAATGAAACAATTTGGACATCTATATATGTCTTTTTATATATGTACATTGAGTTGATTTGATGGACTGTTTAATCCTTTATCTCCGATAAATTGTGTAAGTTTGATGTTATTTCGTTGATTTCCAAAAGAAATGTCAATGAAATAAAGGTTTGTTCTTGTCATTCTTCTTTAAAATATACTTTTAAAGATGTGAAATAATGTTTTGATTGTTTTTAGGATATTATAACTTGAGATGTTAAGCTAACAGTATCTACACGTATTTCTATACATATAAGGATATTAAATTGCCTTAATATTCTTTTTTTTTACAGTATTTAAATGAAACATCTCAGTATCTTGTCTCTGGAGAATTGCATTAAAAATATATATCAACTTAATTTGTAATCAGTTTATAAATAATGAACAAAAATCATATTCCTGGATAATGCACAAAAATTATTAGAGTAATTTATGTACGGTATAGCCGTATGAGCATATTGCGACCACTGTAATATACATATTATATATATTTATTTCAGTACAGATCCGCACCAGCATATTCTCCAATACAGACATCAAAGAATTACTATGTTTTAAAAAAATTCTAATATAATTTAAATTAAACATTGGACGTCACGTGGCCGTATTAGTAATTCCGAGACCTTCAAAATGATTAAATTTTATTGGAGTTATTCCTCTTTGGTAACATTAGTGGTGTAATTTTATCTATATATGGCTCGACACAGCAAAAATGGCGACTGTGATCATCTGGTAACAAAATGTCTTTATTTTTATAAATCAATCCTTTTGTCCTAAATGTGAAATTATTTGTATAGGCAAAGGGTTATTTTAGTTCATGTTATTTATAACGAATCAAAACACTCTAAAATCTAGTTGAAATTTGGGCATATTTTCATTATTGTGACACTGAGTGTTGAGTAAACCATAAAACACCACAGCCCATGTCAGATTTTACAGTGCTTTAGACTGGGTCATCTCTGTACAAATATGGGTATTTCTAGCTAAATATTTTTTAAACATTTTATATAATATCAACTAGAAATGTTTTCTCTGTTTCTGGGCCAATTATATCTATGGTTGACTTTGTTTTTAATTGTGATATAATTTTTTTTTGAATGTCATTCATTCATTGGGACTTCAACCTCATACATGCATCATGTACACATAAAAAATGACTGTGATGAGGGTCTACCCGAAGGCATAGATTTCTTCAAACTATTCTAACTGAAGTAATGAACTTTGACGAGTATTGAAGTATTCATTACTTTTATATATATGCACCTTCCTTATCTGTAGAAAATTACATTTTACTAGCAGTGCATTCTTAGTATGTGCATTTCAAATTCTGCTTTTGATTCACTACTGTACTGCACCCAGTCAGTGTGTTAAATTTCGGCTGAACATTTGCTGTATTTAAAACTGCTGTTCAGAGTTCAATTTAAAAATGAAACCCTTTGAAGTGGAGAAAAAAAAATCATAAAAGTTTTAAAGCACACTTGGGTGTCAAAGTAGAAGTTAAAACATTTCCAGTATAAGAGTTGTAGAAATCCCAGATTTTACCTTTTGAAAGTAATTATTGCATGAAAATACGTTTATACCCAGGCAGTATTCTGTATATTTATGACCATGGAATGCATATTGTTTTACTCAAATGAATACTTAATTAAATTTCTTAACGATACAGTTTTCAGCTATGATTCTTTACTATTGGAATGGATTATGGATGTTTGTTTTTATAGTAAAAAATAATTAAATACATACCACACCTGTAGTATGTTTGGCAAGTTGGGCCTGGTCCACCCACCCCACCCCCAGATTTTTGCATTAATTTGTGTATGTTATTGTCACATATCAAACATGCTTTCTTATCAACAGATGCAGCAGTCCTGATTTGAACATCAGTGTCCATGTAAAATGCTGATCCCAGACACAGCAGTGAGACCCAGTGAAGTAATACTATCTCAAGCATGAAATGGAATTAACTGACCATCATGTCCACAGAATCATCTCTTAATGCTGCTCACTTTGAGCGAAGCTTGTCTGCATCAGCTGTTGACCATACAACAAATAAATTCCTGTCAGAAGACTGCAAAAAAGACCAAAATGGGAACGAGCAGCAAGAATCTCCAACAGAGGGTCTCTTGGATCAAACTGCAAATGGACATGAGGAAAAGTTAGAGGAAATTAGCTGTCAGTTCAGAAATGGCCATGTTGAAGATGGTGCTAATTTATCAGATAAAGTTGCAGCAATAAAAGTGGAAAGCAATGGACTTAGTACTGTGTCAGAGGAAGAGAAAAAAGAGAAAATGAAAGGTGAAGTGTTGGGGAAACCCCCTCTGCCTAAAAATAGATCCAACTCCAGTGCTGGAAAACAATCATGGTTACTGAGATTGTTCGAGTCCAAAATGTTTGATATGTCCATAGCCATCTCATATCTTTTTAACTCAAAGGAACCAGGAGTACAAACATACTTAGGTTTGTGATTTTCATCTTTTTATTTGAATTTTTCACTTCTTGAAAAACAAATATACATGTTTTTTTTATTTCAATAAATATTTTTTACCAAGATAACCAAAGGTATTTATTGCAAAATAATCTTGAGTAATTTTTTTTAACAATAAACAAAATATCTTTGTATATCTGGGTTCCATTTTAATATTTTTCTTAGTGTTTCTCCTGAAATCTATTTTATAGCCAATGTTTCAGTTCATTGAAGAGAGAGACCTGCTGTTTGCTAAATTAGAAATAATCTATCATGATAGAGAAAAAAAAATTATACATATATGTAATATGTATTTCAGGCAGGCTTGGGGTCAATTACTTTGAAATGTAATTAATTACTTTCAAATACATTGATAATTTTGTCAATTACTTGCAATTGCAATTACAATTACATTGAATTTTTCAAATGTAATTAATTACTTTCAATTACTTTGACAAATGTAATTAAATACATATCAATTACTTCGAGTTTTATTTTTATATATAGAAATAAAGTTTTTTAAAAAAATTTTTTCTATAGCTACTGGGCCAGGAAAGATGAAACTCATGTGCAATTGTTTTTGTTCTTGGGTATGATAGATTCACACCTTGTTCAAAATTAAACCTCACCTTATAATGAGTGTGACACACTGTATAAACAAATTAAACATTATGAATATATATTAATTATCTTTAAAAACACAACCCCATGCTACACCACTGGTGTATGGCAAGACCTTTTTTGAAATCTTTTTTAAATCCATATTTTTGAAGGAAATAAATAATATCTATCACAATTCCATTATTTTCTAACTTTAAATGAATAGAATACAGGTAAATCTTTAAAAATGTTCTAGTCTAATTGCTGTAAAACAAATAAACTATGTGAAACAATCATAATGATTGTTATTTGCAAGTGGGAATAGGGAGAACTGAGATTTTACATAGGGATATATAAAACCTTTTAAACCCACCAGTATAGAACTATGTATCAGTATATTTATATGAATCATCCTTTTAAATATAAAATTTCATTTTGAAAAAAGTTATTGAAATGTAATTGAAAAGTAATTGAAAATACATTTGTTTTTTTCCTATGTATTTAAATACATTCAATTACTTGTAATTGAAGGTTTCTCCTGAAATCTATTTTATACAAATTACTTCCAATAGAGAGACTGCTGTTTGCTAAAAATGTAATTAATCTACACTCAAAAAAATTACTTTATTCATATATAATCCCTGTATTTCAGCACATTTAGAGACAAATTTGTTATAGATGAAAATAATCTATCATTATGTCAGATTTATCTCATTGAGGGTAGGGCCATTCTTGATTTTGTTTTTTTTTTTAAATTTCAGGAAATAGGTTGTTCAGTTTTCCAGAGGAGGAGGTGGACTTTTACTTGCCCCAGCTGCTGAATATGTACATTCACATGCATGATGTAGCAGAGGCCATTCACCCCTATATTGTCTATAGGTGAGGGCCCTTATTAAATATAGATATGTAAAGTAACTATTATCAGCTGTACTGCTGTATTTTTAGACTTAATTGGCCTGTGATAAAAGTATACGATTTACCACTGCTGAAGTTGTTCACATATTTAGAGAAGATGGTGATTTAATTAAATATGATAATGAGAAATGAGAATCTGCTTGATCTATTTTTGGAAACAAAATTGAATATATTTTTAAAAATTGAAATAATTATTAACTTTATGCTATTTAAGTTTTATCTTATCTTTGAAGTTTGTAACATCTGTTTACATGCACATACAGAACAATTTAAATATACATGTATATTATGACAATTAAGGAATTAGAAGAAAACACATTTAAGTAACAAAATACAAATTAAATTACAGGTGTCGGCAGAGTGTGGAATTTTCTCTTCATACTGCCTGGATTCTTAGTGCCTATTCTGCAGATGTATTAAAGCCAAACTGGAAAAATTCACAAGGCATCAAATTAAAGAATATGATTCTAAATGAAGAATTAAGGTACACTTCTCTAAGTAGTATACATGTGTTCTATTTGCTTGTCTTTTATTGTTTTCACTTTATGCATTTTTCTTCCATCAGACTTGATCAGAGATAAAGAAATGATTTCTGTTTATTCTAGTTTTAAATTTTCTTGCACCAAAAGGTTTTGACATGTTGAATAAATTTTGTGATTTTTGTAGACCCAAAGTGGATAAAAAAGTAGGAAACCTGCCAAGCCCCACCATGCCCACTGTACTCCACCCATTTACTGCCACCACACCCTCAAAGAAAACACACAGCAGATCCAAGTCTGATGCAACAGGTATCACACAGTTTACTTCAGGAAAGAAGGATGTAGTTAAACCCAGTATCTTAATACTTATGCAAAAAGTCCATTCATCATACTTTGCATTAAGCTAAGTTCCAAAGAAACAATTCCAGAATATTTTAATTGATTTAACTGATATGTTTTTATTTTTAACTACCTCAGTTTTTCCTTTTGCCTTGGTTTTTGCTTTGACCATTATTTAAGGTTTATTTAATCAATCTGCCCTTTCTTTAACATTGACCTTCTTTATGACTTTTGACTTTGTTTTAAACACTCTTGTAAAGAAACCTCTCAAAATATTTTTATCAATCTCACGAACTAATACAAATCAGTGAGAGCTATATGTATTCATTTGGATCATAGTTTTATGACCTTGACCTTCCCTGTGACTTTGACCTCATTATTCCTCATTTACCCTATCTCAAAGAAACAATGTAAATTTCTTTTCTTGTTGCATTATCCTTAAAATTTAGATTGAACAAAGAAATGAGAAAAAATTCTTTACCACCTAGGTATTTACTCAAAATTGACCCACAGTCAGACTACAGGGAACCTCCAAAAGTCGAGTACAGGAGATTTGTCCTCAGGACGAGCTTTTGACAGTGGCTGTATTTGTGTGCAGTCCTCAGAGGGCATTGTCAATGATCTCACTGGAAAGGAGACAGTCTGCCATTGTGGTGTAAGTCAAAAACATGTTAAACTTGACATCAATACATGTATATATGTAACCTTTAAAAAAAGAATTGATTTGAACATAAATATAACAAAGGTTTTGGATACAAGTTCCTTAGTTGAAAATATCGGTGTTTCTGTATATTGTTCTAGATTGTCAAGGTTTGAAAGGGGGAGTGAGGGTCATAATTCTGCATGGGATTTAGATTAAGTTGTTTTTTTTGATACTATTCCTTTAAAAGTATTATACATATATTTAACTTATAATTAGCTTTTTGTTTCCCTTTTATTTATAGGCTCCTAGGTTAAAACCAGAATTGGAATTTGTCAATGCACTGATGAATATTGGAACTCGGCTGCAGCAGCTGCCCACTAAAGAACTCAGAAGTATGTTGTAAACAAGTAGAAATAACTATTAATGCTCAACGTGAAATGATTGTTTTATAAAGCTATATGTTTAAGGTGAATTTTTACATGTAAAAAATTTAGGGATGCTGGTGTCTTATTGCATAAAAAAATGTTGTGTGGGTTAATCATCCCTATTAAATTGAAGTATCATGAAAATAGACCATCAGCAACCATTACATCTGAATCCTTTAGAATACTTGTACTATTATTCAAATTGGTACAACAGTTGTTCATCTTCCTAGAGAAGTGATAGGCAACACTTTCAAGAAGTTATTTATAAAATTGTAATTTCAGCATCGAGATTAATAGCAGAACTAGCCATGTTGAATCTGAATTTGCCTGCCAGAGTCTGGCTTCCTTTCAACACAAACAACCACCATCACATTGTGAGAATTCCCCATACACAGGCCATTGTTCTTAATTCTAAAGAAAAGGTAAGAAATTGTAACCTGTTCCTCAATTTATTGCCTGTTTATCTGTTTCCTTGATCATCATGATAACATTTTCTTTACATCTTTACATCTAAGGAAAATTTCAGCTTAAAAAATGCACGTGTTTTCATTTGTTAATGTGTTTTGTAGGCCCCGTATTTACTGTATGTGGAGGTTTTGGAGGTAGAGAATGTCTATTCTAGTCACATACCTGGTAAACGACTGGAGAATACGCTACGTTTTACCAAGTCCGAGGAGGACCTCACCACGTGTTACAGCAGAAATAATGGATCCCCCCACCCCGAGTTCAGCATTTATGGAGGGTCGGAGTTCGATGATGCTGAATGCTGGTCACAGGAAGATGATGAAATATTACAGGTCAGAGGTTACAAAATTTCTTCAATAGACTTAAGTCTCTCATAAACTGTTCAGAAGGAATTTTATGAAAATGTAATTGATGTTTTCATTTCATTTATATAAAATTGCTTATGTTTGCATTAAATATGTTTGGAACAGACTTGAATTCTGAGATTAAATTGCGAAAGTAATGGAAATGAAGAATGATTGAATACAGAAATAAAACTGTGATAAAAAAGATTGTCAGAGTTACGATTGATATTTTACTTATCCTTTGTTTGTGGCACACAGTTTAATGTCAAGACGAGATCAGTAGATACATTATCACAGTTTTCTGTGGAAAGCACCACCAGTGCTGATAGTAAGGACCCGGTCTACATTGCAGCAGGAGACATTAGGAAAAGACTATCAGAGCATTTCACAGCTCCTAAAAGCAAATTTGAGGTAAACTTCTATAGTTATCTGTAAATATACAAGGAATTAAAAAATTCACAAGTACGTGTAAACATGTCCTTATGGAAAAATTTGGGAAAAGGTCTTGCAGACTTGATTTTCTGGTAAAAATATTAAAATAAAAAAAGTCTTGACGATTTATAGCGTGACCCAGAGGATCCCTCAGCAGCTGCCCTTAAAGAACCTTGGGAGGAAAAAGTCAAGAGGATTAGGGATTCCTCCCCGTATGGACAATTACCAAACTGGAAGCTGTCATCTGTCATCATTAAGTGTGGGGATGACCTCAGACAGGAACTACTGGTGTATCAAGTCCTCAAGGTTCTAAAGGTACAGACTCATTTTTATGATTAGTGTTTCAGAACTTGTGCCACTCTAAGTATTGCATACTAGAATTATTAAGAATTAATTTGAAATAATAATTCTTTTTCTTTTTACTTGTAAGGAAATAAACTTTTACTTTACAATGCATGTTAGTAAAACTTAACATAGAAATATAGAATAGGAACTTAAAGTGGTTGTGAATTATTGAAGTTTAATTTGAAATGATAATTCTTTTCTTTTACTTGTACATGTTGTAAGGAAATAAACTTGTAATTCACAATACATGTTAGTAAAATTAACATAGAAATATAGAATAGAAACTTAAAGTGGTTGTGATTTTATTTTGATGTAAATTCAAAAAGAAGCGTTCAGTTCTAAATAAAAGGTTTCACAGTACATTTAATAGTATACAGGTGTCTAAAAAGGGCTATCTTCCATTATTGCAGAACATTTGGGATCTAGAACATGTGCCATTATGGATAGAGCCATACCACATCCTAGTCATATCCAACATGAGTGGAATGATCCAACCTGTGGATAATACAGTCTCTATCCACCAAATCAAGAAACACAGCAAGAAGTCACTCAAGGAGTACTTCATCCAGGAGTTTGGAGCCGTGAACAGTGAGGGATTTCTGACAGCCCAGAGGAACTTTGTACAGAGCTGTGCTGGTTATTGTCTGGTGTGTTACCTGATGCAGGTCAAAGACAGGTGAGAATAACTATCGGGTGGCACTCTTTGGAGTATACATTTAGATGAGAATAACTATTGGGTGGCACTCTTTGGAGTATACATTTAGATGAGAATAACTATCGGGTGGCACTCTTTGGAGTATACATTTAGATGAGAATAACTATTGGGTAGCACTCTTTGGAGTATACATTTAGATGAGAATAACTGGCACTTGGGTATAATTTAGATGAGAATAACTATTGGGTGGCACTCTTTGGAGTATACATTTAGATGAGAATAACTATCGGGTGGCACTCTTTGGAGTTTACATTTAGATGAGAATAACTATCGGGAAGCACTCTTTGGAGTTTACATTTAGGTGAGAATAACTATTGGGTGGCACTCTTTGGAGTATAATTTAGGTGAGAATAACTATTGGGTGGCACTCTTTGGAGTATACATTTAGGTGAGAATAACTATCAGGTGGCACTCTTTGGAGTATACATTTAGGTGAGAATAACTATTGGGTAGCAATCTTTGGAGTATACATTTAGATGAGAATAACTATTGGGTGGCACTCTTTGGAGTATACATTTAGATGAGAATAACTATTGGGTAGCACTCTTTGGAGTATACATTTAGGTGAGAATAACTATCGGGTGGCACTCTTTGGAGTATACATTTAGGTGAGAATAACTATTGGGTGGCAATCTTCGGAGCATACATTTAGATGCACAGCCAAACCTCATTATCATGAATATCTATGTGTGCATTCTTATTTGTCAGAAGAGTATGGATAGTCAGATGAGGATTGGGGCCCCTGTATCTTTTAATACATGTATCTGAAGTAAAAGTGGAAAACTTTCTTTTGCAGACACAATGGGAACATTCTACTTGACAGTGATGGTCACATTATTCACATTGACTTTGGATTTATCTTGTCAACTTCACCAGGCAAAAATCTAGGATTTGAAAACTCACCCTTTAAACTCACACACGAATTTGCAGAGGTATTTACAATCATTTGATAGAAATTCTTGCAGAAGTGGTGGGATAAAATTATATTAAAGAAAAAAAAAACAGCATTCAGTTTTTGTATCAATATGTACTAAAAAGATCTTGAATGACTTTCTCCATCCTTACTTTAAATTTTCATTCATTCATTGATCTGATCAATAAATGATTGCTCTTGTGGTAAAAAATGTGTACCTTAGGTACTTCAAAACAATGGGTAAAATGCACGATGTATGAAAATATATGGAAAATTGCCACCTATTTCATTTTAATTTTTGGACAAAATTTTACAACCAATGTTTGTTTTATTTTCAGGTTATGGGAGGACTGGAGAGTGATATGTTTGAATATTTTAAGATTTTAATTTTACAAGGATTGGTAGCATCAAGGAAGCACATGGACAAAATCATTCCCATTGTGGAGATCATGCAAACAGGTAACAAAAGGATAAGACATTTTAAATAATTTGACAACTTTAATCCGTGAGGATTTAATTTTGGCAATATTAGCGAGGGTACTGAGATTTCTAAATATTGAAATTCCTAAAATTTAATTGCATGTTATTTGTAACTGCTTTTTTATGGAGCATTTTAATAAAATCATTAAAATCACTATTCGCTAAAAATGAAATACCAATTTTTAAAGCGAAATTGCTAAATTTGCGTCTCGCAAAAATTTCCACTTATTCTGTATTTTATGCTGATCATTAATTATCAAAAAAAATGTCGAGGACCATGTATTAGGTTTTGTGTTTTGTTGCTACTTCCGGAACAAATTGGAATGTAAAACCTAGTTTATCCTTTACATGTATTGCAGGTTCAGGACTGCCTTGTTTTGGGAATGGTGTAAATACAATACGGCAGTTGAAGGAGCGATTTCATCTGAATCTGACAGAAGAACAGCTTCAGCTATACGTGGACCAACTAGTCGAGTCGAGTCTCAACTCGCTTACCACGTCTCTGTACGACAAATTCCAGTACTTCACTAACGGCATTCTGTGAGATTTAGAAAGAGGGAGAGATTGTAGCAGAAATGTTGGATGGTAGAGACTTAGCAGAGAGAATTTGGAGATTTAGAAATTTCCCCGGACTAGTCAGATATGGTGTACATGTATTATTGCACAGAAAGTTGCCAAATTTGTTCACGATAATCTCAAACATGTAATTTTATGTGCAATGGCTACCTCAAAGAAATGGATTTCTTCAAGATAAATATACTGTACCAACGTCTTTTATAATAATTTTAAATTAAAGTTTAAGAAATATTTTAGATTTAACGAGAAAGAGCTCGGAGAAAATTATATGAGACTGTTCATATATTAATTTTAACAAAATAATCTTTTTTTCATCAATGATTGAAATACTTTACTTTCACATCAATGTATGAAAATATTTATTGTTTTGACTTAAACAAGCTGAATTGAGATTTTACTGTAAATTATGTGTAAAAATGTATATTATTTATGATGGTGCATATCTTAAAGGCTGGATTTTATGTTTTGCACTCAAAATTGAATATCTGCATGTTTTATTTGTGGAATTTTAAAGCACTTGCCTTATGTCAAAGTGCATACAGTTACATTATTTGTGATAAAACATTTAGTTTCAATTTATGGTAGTGCTAAATTAAAAATTAATAATATTAGTTTATTTGGAATTTTAAAGTCAAAGAAATTGAAGATGTCATTTTGAATTTCTACCTTCACCGAATATAAAAATCAAGTAATATTGATGTCGATATCTAAACAGATAAAAATCAATATAGTTTTATAGAGAATTTTAACCAGTTAATGTGCCATACTTTGTACATTTAATTAAATATTTATTAACAAAATAAAATAATTTTATGTTATTAACTTTGAATGTTGATCAGTAGTTTTTTTCCCCCCAAGAGATTAATTCTGTTAAGTGAAAACAAAGCACAGTTCACCAAGAGAAATTAAAATTAAAAAGGGATATTAAATACATGTATTTAGAAATATTGAAAAAAAATTGTTTTGTAAACATAAAAAAAATTATTTTAAGCTTAAACATAACGATATAATTCATGTAAAAGTCTTGCTGACTTCAGGTCAAATTTGAACTGGTTGTTGTTTCTTATGTAATTTTTGATTTGCAATGCATCTGTGAACAAATTATGTATAAGGGTATCTAGTTGTACAATATTTAAGCTTTTTCATCTTATATAAGGCATAATTTTTGCATTATTAAGAAAAACCGACATAAAACTTGCAATATTGAATACCTGTAAATTCACACTGTAATGTGATACAAGAGCTAATTTCAATGCAATGTTTACCTGCTTTAGTAGGTTGTGTGTGTGTACCTAACAATTTTTTGTCCGTCTTATATCTGTGTATGATGATTTTGTAATGATGGGCATTTTTTAAGCAATTAATTAAAAATTTATGATTTTTAATTTTAACTGTACATTGCAAATATCATACAATGCTACATGTGTAATTCCTCATTAATGATAAAACATTTTTCAATGGATTGCATATACTGAGCCATTGGAATGACCTTCTCCTGTTATAATATATTGATTATCAATGCAATTTTATGTACAGAACATGTTTATGTATGTGTAATTATTCATTTTTATACCCCTTATTTTGAAGATCATACATTACTCAGTCCATTTGTCTATCCACAACTTTAAACAATGGCCAAATTTAGGATTTTAAGTACACAATATAAATTTTTTTAATTGTTAAAGATGAAAGTTTCCTAAGGTCAAGACCATTTACTGTTAATGTTACTCACCAAAGGTAAAATAAATATGTACCACCGAGGGATGGGTCTGGGATGGGAGAATTATGTTTTTTAAACACTTCTTTTTTTCCAAAGACAAATATGTATGAAGTATATAATTTCCTAGTCAATGCATTTACTCATCATGGAATGTATGCAAGAAATTAGTATTTTTTCTAAAAACTGCATACATGTAATATTTAGAAAGATTCCCATGTGTTGTGTTGTTCCTTTGCAGCTTGGCAACCCTGACAATCTGCTTCTTAATTGTACTCACTAGACCACTCACATTTTTGAATATGAATGGCTTGATATTTCTTTGAAAAATATTTGTCAGAAGGAAACATACATGTTAATAAGAAATATATTTATTATTAATTTAATGTAGATACATGTAACTTGTTTTCAGGAATTGGTTATTTAATATTTCTTTTATCACAAATACCAAATTTATGTGTAAAATTACACATATTTAGTTCTTGGAGTACAGAGTACCTGTATTTAGACTTCTGATGACTGCATTAACACTTACATCTCATCTTTTTTGAAAATGTACATTTGTAAAATCACTAACCCATTGCACTGAACAAAGTTGCTTCATTTTGTGAAATGTCACAAAGATTAATTAAAATATGAATAGAAGAAACTTGATGTTACTTGTACAATTTATGAATATCTGAAAGACACAGTTCTTCCAAGAATCCAACAAGTTAATTAAAAAACATAATTCAGTGAATTTTACACAGGGTATATAGGAAATTCAATGATTTGTTGTTGGGTGTGGAATTTTACATGATTGGAACAGTTTTTTTTTTTTTATATTTTCACAAGTTTAAAGCACAAATGAAGATATTTTTTAAAACAAGAGGCCAATGGGCCACATTGCTCACCTACGCAAGTGAGTTAAGGCTACAAATGGAGGTTTCTATGCAAAATATCTAATTAAAACCCATAATTGCTATACCTACCATATAGAAAAATCTTAAGACTTGTTTTTTTAATATATTCTTGGTACCCACGACATGCGATAGCCAGTACGCATTATGACGTCGTCGACCTTTACTACACAAGTTTATAAGAAACAAATCGCTTCGGTGCAAGGGCATACCTTACTTTGTTTTACAAAAACTAGGTACATATAATGAGATGAGGATATTACAAGGATATAAGATATTGCTGCACAAATGTCGACACTGCAATTGTTTAGTTACTATTCGTACAGTTTTAAGTTGGAAACAAGGTAAAAATTCACAGTCCAGTGTGTTTCCTAAAAATTTTATCGATTGAGAAAGTGCATAGGATTTGTGCAGCAATTTTATTAATTTTTAGAATATTCTCCTTAATATTGTACATTATTTATTTTAAATAAAATAGGATATGCCTTTGCGCTGACGTTTTGTTGAAGTGTTTTATTACCTTGAATGGAAAAAAACAATGACGTCATGCTATGGCATCATAATGTGCACTTGCTTTATTATGCTGTGGGTACTAAGTTTGTATAAGAAAATAACTTTCTCTGTACATAAAATACAGCAAAACTCATTTAGTGCGAACACGGATATTGTGAATTTACGGATATAGCGAAGTCATCTTGGATCCCCAGCGATATTAATTAAATGAATTTCTTATACGGTTATAACAAATTACGGATATAGCGAAGTAATTTCAGAGGTCCCAGTGACTTCCTTATAACCGAGTTTTGCTGTATACAACTTTTGCATTTTTATTAGCCTTAACTCACTTGCATAGTAACTTTGTCCATGCTGTTCTTTAATGGATTTCCCTTGTGTAATACCTATTATGGCCCCACCTTCCCCCGAGGGTCAAGATTTAAACAATTTAGAATGTAAACTATCTCAAGATGCTTCCATGTGAGTTTCAGCTCATTTTGTCCTTTAAAGCGTTAATTTTTAAAAATTTTTCCTACGTATTTCAATGTAAAACTTGGATGTCCTATTGTGGCCTCTGAGACATAATTTCAACTCCCTCTGCTTCTGTCATAGACCATGGTACCATAGTTGAGTGATTCTTAAAAGGCAGCTTAGGGATTGTGAGATAGAAAATTGAACACCTAAATTTTAACTAGAAAACTGACCAGTCAGCAAGGGCCCCGCCATGGGGTAGAATTAAAAAAACCTACAAAAAATAAGATTCAAAATGTACAAAGAATAAGCTTTAGCAATTGTATTCTTAAAATTTCATAGTTAGATTCCTGAACATTCAAATATACCTGAAAATAATATCCTTGTACTCTACATTAGGCAGTAAAGAATGACTTAACTTTGAATTATATTTTAACAATTATGAAGCTTGTGTTATATAAAATCCAGCCTTAATTTTTTTTAATATCATATATTTTTCCTTCAATTTTCTATCCAGCAGTTGCATGACAAAGGTTTTCATATAATCTTAAACACAGATATCAAGAAAATCCAATGTACAGTTTTCTGCAGCAGGCTGGAAATTAATCCCAAAGGATTAATTGCACACATCTCTCGATCATTTTCTCACTGTGTGTTACAATAAGAACTTTTTTCAGTATTAATGATGAATTTTTTATATATTCCTTAAAAATTAATAATTGATTTTGAATTAACATAAGTAACAAAAGTAAATCAAAAAATCTTCTTTAATCTATTTCTTGTTTTTGCACACATTCAATGAAATCATATACTATTAATACAAAAATAAATTATGAAAATTTATATTCAAATCCACATTTCAGAGTGTTATGCATTCAATTGACTTAACTTCAAAACAAACTTCATTTGCAGACAGAGGTGGTAATTCATCTCAATGTGACAAAAAGATAATGCTTTGGATTTTCTTCAGGAGGAAAGCTAATTAATCCCACTGAAATAAAGCATTCAGTTTAAAAACAAATAGTTATATCTCTTCAGCCAATGTCATTATTATATAAAGTTTTTGTAGGAATAAAACCAAGCCCAGCTCCAAACCAGGGGACAGATCCCTAACTTATAATGAAGTGATCCTTTGCATAGAAACTACCATACCAAATTTATAGCCTTAATTGGGCAACTTAAAAAAAGTTGTCCATGCTGTTCTTTATGCATTTCCCCCGTGTAATACCTATTACCCCAGCTCCAAACCAGAAGACACAGATTTAAACAATTTAGCATCAAAATATGATTTTTCCATGTGAGTTTCCATACCAAATTTGAACTTGATTGAAGAAGATTTTAAAATTTTTTCCTAGTAAAAAACAGAAAATTTGTGGCCGGAAGATTCAACTCCCTTTGCTTCTGTCATAGACCATGGACAGACAGACAGATTCAAACAGGCAGAGTGATTACTGATAGAAAATTGAACACCTAAATTTTAACAAGCTGGAGCAATTTTTACGATTTTGGTCTCTGTCAGAATGAATTATTCTTTCACTTCTTTATAACAGGATTTTAAAAAAAACTTTTCATAGAGGGAAAAATATTCAATTTTTGATGCACTGATATTTTTTCCAGTGTGAGAAAATACAGTGTATTACATAGAATATTTCATACAGCAAAAAATATAACTTTTTTTCAATAAATAAGATTACAGTATTTCACTGTTGAACTGTAATAAATAACAATAAGCTTGAAAAATCACTGCATGTTCACGATTTTCCAATATTAAGAATTATAGAGTACCCAGTACAAATGTAATCTGAAGACATAAGTTTGTCATATAAATAATTAATCACAGATAGTTATATAAAGGGGAGTTCTACCAGAGTAAGAACACCCCCAGTTAACAATTTTTTTTTGCATAGAAATTCACAGATCCACCACTCTGCTTCCTCCTGCAGCAGTACCAATCTTTCTCTTTGTACTGAATACCTACAACAAGTAAAATTATTAAATAATGTTTTTATTTTGGAAGAAAAAAACATGCACTTGTATCTTGAAACATTATGGTTTTTAAATCATTCAGGTCTTCAAGGTGCTTCCTTACACCTTCAATGAGGCCCACAGGCCACAATGCTCACCTGAAAAAAAAAGCCTATCTTGAATTGAATTGAATTGAACATATTTTATTGACAATTAAAGCCAAAAGGATAAGACACAGTTTTTACATCTAAGACATGTATCCTTGATTACAACTTAGAATTTGACAGACCTCATCTTCACAAGCAATACCTGCACCACCTAGAGCTTTCTGATGTTACATCCTATATATACAAAAAATGTGTGATTTTTCAGTAGAATATATCGCGACTTTTTGAAAGGTGATACATAACTTTAAAAATTACCGGTAGTTAGTTATATATTATAAAGTCCAGAAATTATTCATTTATTTGCTTCATCTTTTAAATTACAATTATAGAAAGTCTAAAAAATATTGTAAAAGGTGAAAAGAACAGCATCTTACCATCCAAACATGATTAATTTTATGTACATAAAAATTTCAAAAAAGTGAAATTTTGTTTTTCTAGCATATTTTTAAGAAAAATAATGACAATTCATTATAAATCATTGTAAAAATTTATTGCAAAAATATCATGATATTGTGATATTTGGGGAAAAAATCGTGATATATCGCGATACGAAATTTTTGGCGATACCCATCCCTACTATATAAGTTTAACTAAGTCTTGTGATCTTGATGCTAATCTATTCAATGGCTTTGGTTTATGATCAAGACATAAATCCATCAATTGGTGAACTCAATCCTCATGCCAAGTACATGTACAATTATATTTTCTAATGTTACAAATGCACAGGAGAGGCAAAAATTTCATATTATTATACTTCGTGCAAGTGATCTCAATACAGTATAAATTTACAGTCTCTGTTATCAACATTTTTATTTTGCGAAAAAAAAAAGTTTTAGAATAATAATACAGTACATACAAATGAAAGAATTAGATACTTACTTCCTGCAAGAAACTAATCCATGCTGTTAACCCTGGGACATCCAGGTCTCATTATGTGTGCCCTCTGGAAATCTGGCTATTCTTTTAAGAGAGCTACCAGAAACCTGAAATGAAACACATGAGTTAAGTTTGCAATGTACATGTACCGGGTACTGGTACATTAAATGTTTTACTCTGTAACTCAGATCACATTTTGAATTGTAATTCTTACTCAGAGATCTATATACTGGAAACACACATGTCAAGAGTTATATTTTATATACATCACCCCTACTAATGTTATTGTGATTTAAATTCAAGACATGTGGTTTAGGTTTACCTATTCAAAGGTTATAGGTTAGAACCAGTTTTATAAATAAAATTGGCAGTAAACAGGAAATTACTATAGTCTGTTACATATCTAAAACATGTCCTGAAATGTATTCATTTATTTGTTTCATCTTTTTAACAAAAACAAATCATGCAGTGGCTAAAATAGAAAGTCTAAAAAATATTTAAAAGGTGCAAAAAGAACAGCATCTTACCATCCAGACATGATTAATTTTATGTACAAAAAATGTGTAAAAAAGTGAAATTTGTTTGCCTTATATGGCTATTTTTAAGAAAAATAATGACAATTCATTGTAAATCATTGTAAAAATTTATTGCAAAAATACATGTTTAATGTATCGTGATATTTGGGGTCAATCTATGATATATCAATGGAGTGCAAGATAAAAAGAAATTTTTTATGAACAAAATGCCTTCATATATATATTTAACTATCACAGTTTTTGATTTGATGTTAATCTATTCAAAATTTGGTTTATATAAAAATAAATACATCTTTTGGTTAACTCAATCCCATGCCAAGTACATGTACAATTATATTTTCTAATGTTTAAATGGACAAAAACATTTTTTATATTATTATACTTCGTGCAAGTGTGTTCTCAATACAGTATAAATTTACAGTCTCTGTTATCAACATTCTTATTTTGCAAAAAAAAAAAGTTTTTAGAATAATAATACAGTACATACAAATGGATAGACAAATGTAATGATTACAGTGTACATGCACCAGAATACATCTACTCGCAAAACGTATTTTTTAAAGGAATATAAAAGAATTCTTGTGACTTTCAATATACTGTATACAGGGAAATTTGGCGGTGTTTTATTTTCGCGGCTTTGGCGCCCTCTTCGCTAAATCAAGTACAACGCTAAATGTCAAATTCAAATACACACATAATTTTTTAAACAAAATGAAGAAATGATCTAAATCAAATCTACGGGGCAAAATTATTCAAAAGTGCAAAAGGGTGAAATATCGTACACGCGAAATATAATACATTTACAGTATATATGTTGACAAGGAAATTTTAATGCAGAATTAGCAGAAAATTGTATCATGCAAGAAACTTATAATTTAAACTTGATGGAATCCAGAGAGATCATTATGTGTGCATTTCTGGAAATCTGATATTATAAGGAGGTGAAAACCTGAAACGCAATATACTTTTCTGAGTTGAGTTTGCAATACATGTACTGGGTACTGGTACATTAAATGTTTTACTCTGTAACTCAGATCACATTTTGAATTGTAATTCTTACTCAGAGATCTATATAACAAGACTGGAAACACATGTGTCAAGAGTTTCATTTTATATACATGTAAGCATTACATTCTGTGAATTTTATTCTTTTTTTTCTTCTTAAAGACCTATTGTGCGTTAATTTACAGGCTTATGAATACAGAAAAGGTAAAGTAATGTCTGGAAAAAAAAAACAACTCTTAAACCTTAAATATACATCTGGATTCTTTGTAGTCCAGGCTCCAAGACCATAAACTGAGATCAAATTAAGTCCAAATTTCAAACTATTAAAACTTTTGAAATAAATTTGATGCTAAAACAAAATTTTCACCATTTGTTTGAATTTACATATTACGTAAACACATGGTAAAATTGCAAATTTAAGAGCAAATATAGGACCCCATTGGAAATAAACTCTCGAGCTTTAATGGGTTATCCTGCTATCTATCTAGTCAACTTGAATTTTATTTCTAAAAATATTATTACTTTAATTTTTTATTTATAAAATCTTGATTATCAACTTTCGTCTTTTATAAGATCATGTATAATTTTGTGTATTTGTTTTATGTATGATGACATGATACCAAATAAATACTACTACTACTACTACATATACATGAAATAAAATTCAAGATATTAAAAATCTAAATTTGGACTTAAGTCTGTTCTCAGTTTATGGTCTTGGAGCCTGAGTTAAGGTAAAAGCTTTTCCCAGAGAACTGACAGAATTAATTATAGATACTTACACTGTGTAATTTTGACATCATATGTGGGGGAATTAGTTTGTCCCCTTGTCCCGATAAGAATAAGGTTGGAATGGTTATCTTCTGAATTCTATCAACTGTAGGATACTGCAGAGGAAAATTTATATTTAGTACACACAGTGTATGCTTATATCTTATGTGTTCTTTACATGTACTTGATACAACCATAGTCAATGTAAGTTAATGACACTTTATCAGTAATATAATGAAGCTAATAAATTAGCATTACAAATTAAAGTGTTTCTTTTTTAAAGTAAGAAGCATTGTTACAAATTGTTTTTACACGATAGTTACCATTTCCGGTAATGATGAAAAAAAAAACATTAATTTTTGGTCATAGTTGCTTATTAATTATCCTAACATTTAACAAATATACTTGAGAAATGATTTTGTGAAGAACAGACTGTGTTGTGTACTTACACGAAAATAAAGTTCTCTGGTCTGATAAAGCAGAGAATGACACAAAGTCTTATTGCAATGCCAGCACTGATTAGAATAGCAAATGCTTGTGGTTAGGCATAAGCTCCCTGATTAACAAGGTGAACTCTAGGGTTAACTCCAGTGTAGTAAATCACATTATCTAAACTTACCTTATTTTTAAATACAATGGCAGGTATATATTCCAGAATGTACAAGTCTGCAAAAATGGACCTAGCAATGTCTGGAAGTGATGTGAAGGAATTTTCTAACACTAGTGCTACTATATGTGGAGAATATTTTTTGTTGCTGGCTAACCACGCAGCCACAGCGCCCCCTAGTGAGCGGCCAAACACTATTATTTTGTCTTTATTTATATCTGGACGGCTGAGTAAAAAATCCATAGATGCCTCGGAGTCTAAGTACAGTCCTACAATAAAATGTGAGAGTTTTGTATAAGATATAGATCATTGCAGGTATTGACAATTTATGTAAATATACATAGCTATAGTTTAAGTAAAATTAATTAAAAATTATCAGTAAATTTATGCATGCATGCATGCATTTGTGTTGTATACTGTAAAATAATTTATTAAATCCCATAATGTTTCCATAGCAATAAGATCATTTTAATCACTGTAGTGTAATAAGTCTAATAGTGAACACACTGAACAATTAACTGACTTTACAGTAGAGTGATTTCCATTTCCTGTGGCTTAAAATGTGTGAATTTAAACCAATACATGTATATACATGATATAAATGTATAGCAAATTTATTATGTTTATAATGAAGCAAATCATCCATCCCTGGTATATTATTCCAAGTATGTTTTACTGCAATACTCAACATAAATACATGTAGTATAGTACAAACAATGAGCTACAAAGTGCTGTGGATTTTAATTAGATGAATATCGAAATAACAAAATATTACAATGAAAGCTTTATTTAACAAGTAATCTGATTCAATGACTTTTTTCTCTATCAGCCTCTGCTTTTCTGTGAACTTTGACCTTACCTGACTCTGAAGGTGAGCCATCACTCCTTCCATAACCCCTGTACTCAACCAACAGAACATTCACCCCAACATATCTGTGTAAATCACCAACATTAGGGTACCTACAAGACAAGGTGGTTTTGTAATATCATAATATCATTTTCAATAATCGCTTGAAGTACATGTAACTCCCATTTCTTAGCATATAAATAATAAAAGATACACAAAATTCATGTTCTAGAAAATGAATGACCCTAACCCTAGAGAGAGAGAGAGAGTTGAGTAAGAAGTTTTTTTGGACTAGAGAAAATATTCAAGGCAGATAGTAATATTTTAATTCCAAAAGGGTAAGCATTGGAAGTACAAGTTTATTGCCAAGTAAACTTTTGTAGTCCTTGCCTGTGTCCAATATTCCCAGCATTTCCATGGAAATAAATCACAGTTGGGGCATTAGGATTGGAATGTTTTATAAGCACCACATTAATTTTGACACCATCTTTAGTGGTGATGAAATGGTTTTCTCCCCGCAGGTTGAAGCGCTGGGGACTGTCAATAAACAATCTGGACTGGGGAGGTTGCTCAGGATAGTATAGCAGCAAGTCCTGGGCATTGTAGAATATACCTAAGCAACAAATATTGTCAATACACTGTAGTAGGGATAATCTCAACGAGATGTTGTAGGGACTAAAATTTTGGTCTGGTGTCCCTACTGCATCTCAGAGCAATCCCACACAACATGATAAGGGATTTTTTGCCCTGACTTCGACCACTCATTTCAATCAATATGGGCTGCAATGAATTAGCTGCCCATTTCAACTGTTTCCTTTGGACATCCCTTTCAGTCTCTATCACTGTAAAACTTTCCTTTCTTACCTTTAAAAGGTTTAAATCCAACAAAATATAAAGTTGTTGATTTTTCATAGAAATATCCTGTGCCATTACACAGCTTATGCATATATGTTCGTAAACTTTTTGTGTTTTTCTTTTTTTGTCTGTGTGAAATGTTTAAGTCTACCGTTTATATCCGAATACTAGTTGTATTATTATTCAGTGATTCTCTTTAAACTTGCAAAATTCAGTGTCAATGTCAGTCTTGTTTTGTTCTTTTTAATTGTACAGTAGCCTTTATTGTAACATCATCTTTATGTCATCTGAATAAAATCTGAAATGAAGATTGAGGATAGGAGAAAATGTATGTCTGGACCAGGAATCGAAGCCGGGACCGAGTTATCCAGGCCGATATCCATGGCCCAAACCATTACACGTTTAAACCTCCGATGCTGTCGAAGAGTTCAGCAATAGTCTGCTTTGAATACTTCGTTCTACTACTATTACCTATAGGAATGAACTATAGTACAAAGCGGTTGAAGTCAGGGCAAAAAATCCCTAATCACGTTGTGTGTGATTGTTCTGAGATGTAGTACTAGTAGGTACAGCAGACCAAACTTTTAGTCCCTACGACACCTCGCTGAGATTATAACAGCAAAACCTGAGAATTGTAGAATATACCTATTAACACAACAAATATTATCGAATGTATTTTTATACATACTAAATCCTCCTACTAGAAGGAGTGCAAACGTCAGTAATCCTCCGTAGTACCAGAAAACCAACACCAAGATTAGTCCTGCAGATGCACATAGTTTCCAGAACTTTGACAACACAGAGAAAACAAGACGTGTGATAATTTCTAGGACCCTTAATTTTGATCCCATTTTTTGTTCTTTTGGAATCAAACTCTCTTCATCATCTTGGTTTGTTGTCATAGTAAATAACTTTCAATAAATTTAATTTTCATGCCATCCAAAATCAAACCGGAAGTTGAGAGAAGAAGAAAAAATTTAACTAACTTGTACTCTATCTTAGTCGTAAATTCCTTAAAATAAGTGTGTATCGGCAATATCTCTTTAAATTTATACGAATATTATCAATAATATACATATTTATAAGAGCCATTCTTTTAATATAACAATTTATTGTTTTTATGATTCTGGAACATTCTTTTATGGTCCGGAAAAGCAACGTAAACCTTTTCAGAATTTATATCAGAAAAGATGGCGACCCCCAAATCAAAGAATGTGCGAGAAAACGAACAAAAGCTGCTGGATGCCATTGTAAATGGTGATGCATTTTAATTTTTTGCGATTTTTAAACTTTGTCTACGCTTTCCAGGTTATCTAGGTTGAAAGAGCTTCATAGACATCTTTGTTTTTTTTTTAAAGTAACAGTCACAGCTACTTGGTCTTGATGTTATATCAATAAAGTGTGTTTATCATGTTTAAGGACAGATGATGCAAACAAATTTTGTCTTTGAGAAAGATATAATATCATGTCACAGGTTTAGAAATGTGGATGGTTCTTAGAATTTGTTCTCCTAAGAACTGGAAAATATTAGTAATATTTCAATGAAAAAACAAATATAGACAAATTACATTCAGTAAAGGTTTACAGGTGAAAACAGTTTTCAGAATATGTTAACATGGTGTTAAAAGTGTAATATAAACTTAAGAAAAATGTACCAAGCCAGATGAATTTTATTAGGAAAAGCTAAATGGTAAAAATCAGCCTATGTAATATTGCTAATTTTTTGTCATTTTGATCTTCCTCTTAAAATTCACCCGGCTTGGTATATTTTTCTAGGGTTTATATTACACTTTTAGCGCCAAGATAACATATTCTGAAATTCATTTTCACCTGTAAACCTTTACTGAATGTGATTTGTCTATATTTGTTTTTTCATTGAAATATTACTAATATTTTACAAGTCTATTTCATTTTCCAGTTCTTTGGAGAAAAAATTCTAAGAACCATCCACTTTTCTAAACTTGCAACATGATATTAAATCTTTTTCAAAGAAAAAATTTGTTTGTATCATCTGTCCTTAATGTTAGACCATTCCAAGTTTTTTCTCTGTTTAGCGTCCACCGATCTTTCTAAAACCTACCTACCTATTCGCAAAAAACACACAAGTCAAAACACAAAACACAGGCTTAAAAGTCATAAAAGTGACACCCTTTAAATGATGTGATCTAACTAAACTGCTTTAATAGATGAAATATCTATTCTTTAGCAAAAACAAGGGATTAAATGCTTAAAATACACCCAGTATAACTTACTGTACAGAATTATTTGGAGAAATTGACAAAATTCAAAAATTTCGACTAAATTAATCAATTTCAGGACTCCTGATGTTGTGTGTTTTTTCTCATATGGGGTGTCAAAAACCAAGGCGCACGTGGACGCTAAACATAGAAAAAACTTGGAATGGCCTTACCTATTAAATTTTTAAAAAGATTACTCTTTTTACGTATCAGCAATCACATATATATTTATAAACCAAGAATGAAGACATAAGTACCTGTGAGCAGGAGCAGCACAATCTGGTGTAGAAGTCGTATGTCGAGAAACCATTAGCAATATACAAAATAATCTATCCAGAATAGTTTGATAAATGTTCTAATTCAATATGTTTTATGGTGTGACCATTTAGGCAAGCACAGTTGTACCATCGAAACCACACTTGAAACATTGATCAGACACTTCAAACATCAAGTGGCATGGGATATCTCCACTAGCTGTGACGTCACATGACGTAAAGGAGCTCGTTGGAGCTTACAGACAGCTGAGTGTCTGGTCGAAATTATAAACTTAGTGCAATGTTTGACAAAAGTCGTTGTAGAGTATTTTCTTGCCTCTTTTAAGATTTCTACAAACCTTTTTAAAAAGCCTTATGCTTTATGTTAATGATTTATTCGCCATTATAGTATGGAATAGGCTCAACTCCAATATAAGGATAAAGTAGTACTTTGACTGAAACAATATTAACATATTCATACATCATTGTATATTGTAGTAATGTTACGGAGTTTATTTTTTCTACTTTCCACACATGAATTTACTATCGACCGGGGACAGGTCGACGGTTGACACTTCCCTTCTGTTCTAGTGTCGACCAGAGACAGGTCGACCGTTGACAGTTGACACTTCCCTTGTGTTCTAGTGTCGACAGGGGACAGGTCGACGGTTGACAGTTGACACTTCCCTTGTGTTCTAGTGTCGACCAGGGACAGGTCGACGGTTGACAGTTGACACTTTCCATATGATCTACTGTCGACCAGAGACAGGTCGAAGGTTGACAGTTGACACTTCCCTTGTGTTCTAGTGTCGACCGGGGACAGGTCGACGGTTGACAGTTGACACTTCCCTTTTGTCCTAGTGTCGACCGGGGACAGGTTGACAGTTGACAGTTGACACTTTCCTTGTTTTCTAGTGTCGTCCAGAGACAGGTTGATGGTTGACAGTTGACACTTCCCTTGTGTTCTAGTGTCGACCAGGGACAGGCCGACGGTTGACAGTTGACACTTCCCTTGTGTTCTAGTGTCGACCAGGGACAGGCCAACGGTTGACAATTGACACTTTCCATATGATCTACTGTCGACCAGGGACAGGTTGACGGTTGACAGTTGACACTTCCCTTGTGTTCTAGTGTCGACCGGGGACAGGTTGACGGTTGACAGTTGACACTTTCCTTGTGTTCTAGTGTCGACCAGAGACAGGTTGACGGTTGACAGTTGACACTTTCCATATGATCTACTGTTGACTGGGGACACTAACCCTAATCACACCTATAAATGCGAAACTAACCCTAATCACAGCTATAAATGCGAAACTAACCCTTATCACAGCTATTTATGTGAGACTTACCCTAATTACAGCTATAAATGCGAGACTTACCCTAATTACAGCTATAAATGCGAGACTAACCCTAATCACAGCTATTAATGCGAGACTAAACTTAATCACAGCTTTTAATACGAGACTAACCCTAATCACACTTGTGAATGCGAGACTAACCCTGATCACAGGTAAAAATGCGGGACTAACCCTAATCACAGTTATGTGTGCGAAACTAACCAAATATCCCTGGTCAACAGTAGAAATGATTAGATGTCAACTGTCAACTGTCCCCGGTCGACAGTAGAAATGGTTAAATGTCAACTGTCCCCGTTTGACAGTAGAAATTGTTAAATGTCAACTGTCAACTGTCCTCGGTCGACAGTAGAAATGATTAAATGTCAACTGTCAACCGTCCCCAGTCGACAGTAGAAATTGTTAAATGTCAAATGTCAACTGTCCCCGGTCGACAGTAGAAATGATTAAATGTCAACTGTCAACTGTCCCCGGTCGACAGTAGAAATGGTTAAATGTCAACTGTCCCCGGTCGACAGTAGAAATGGTTAAATGTCAACTGTTACCTGACGACAGTAGAACCGAATCACTACTTTTATATATAAAGCTTCCGCATAGGGACTACATACCCTTATACTGGAGTTGACCCATGGAATCCTGGTAGTAAAGGAATTCTGGGAAGGTTTCACACAAAAATTTTCTTGACGTATGTACAGATTTCATAACGAATTCTGTATATTCTTACATGTTAGTCTGTTGAGCTTGATATTAGGCCTAGAACAAAAATATGTTTGTTTCCGCTTTCCCGACCGACCCTAATTTATAGTGCCGACCCTAAATATTTTTTTAATGCTTTTGGCCCATGATGTGCAAGATTTCACCCAGGGAATTAAAGTCTCCAACTTTGCAAGCTTTTCAAGACAGAAAGAAGTTTGGATCACCTTTCTATTATAAGTTTTAACTCACAGAAATGCTTGAAAACACCATTTCTTTTGTCATTACTCATTAATATTACTACTATACACGTTTTGATTAAAGAAGCAAAAAAAAAAAAATAAAAAAAAAAAAGAAAATTGCCTACCTACCTACCCTATATTTTTTCAGCCCGAAAGCGGAAACAAACATATTTTTTTTCTAGGCCTTAGGGATGTGCGATTTTATCAATATACCGGTATATAGCGATTTTTTGTTGCGTGATACGTACTGTGATACGGAGACCTAAATACCGCTCTTTAGGTACATATTATAAAGTCCAGAAATTATTCATTTATTTGTTCAATCTTTCAAATTACAATTACAGAAAGTATAAAAAAATGTTGTAAAAAGTCGAAAAGAACTGCATCTTACTGTCCAAACATTATTGATTTTATATACATAAAAATTTCAAGAAAGTAAAATTTTGTTTTTCTAGCATATTTCTTAGCATTGTAAAAACTGCTTTTAAAAATATCATGATATTATCCTGATATTGTGGGAAAAAATCTTGATATATCACGATACAAAATTTTTGGCGTTACCCATCCCTACTTGATATTATGACAAAGCTATTTATAATAATAGGTTTATTTAGCTATTTTGAATAGGCTACTTTAACTTTATAGCTTATTTAAGAGATTTGTGTTGGGTCTGTTTTCAGGTACTTTTTTCTCGGTTTAAAACTATTCACATACTATAAATTAAAAGTTTCTTATACTGCAGCATTTGAATTCTTTCAAGCAAGAAATATACAATGGAGTCTTGTTAATTTTTCAAAGTAAAACATCCTAACACTGAGAGCAACTTGCCAAAACTTCCCAGTAGAAATTTTAAGTACAGTCTTTCATTAAAGTAGACCTAAACAGTTGTGAATTGTTTCATCAGAATGTTGCATGTTTATTGATAGGCAATGTTGATGAAGTCAGGACACTTTTGAAAGATCCAGATGTTCGAGTGGACTTTACAGACGAGGTAGATATATTTTATTTAATATTCTTAAATAAAGGATTATTGTATTTGCTCTACAATTTTTTATTGCAAATTCTCAATACTTTGGACTTATTTTGGGCGGTAAATTTTCATGGATTGCTTTCTATGTGCAAATTAGTGATAGTTATATTCAAGAAAAAAAAATCATTTTACAGGCATAAGATAACGGAGGCATCAAAAATTTGTCAGACAAGTTATCACACAAGTTGAATTTATTTTGCATTGACACCTTCCTCAGAATTAAGTTTAAACTATTAGTTATTTTACAGTGTCTGTTAAAAAAAGAAGGAATAGACATGCAGGGTATGATGCACTTCATAACTTTTTCCTATCTGAAAAGGGGAAAAACTCGATTTTCTTTTCAAAATAAGAAAAATAGAAATATCAGCTATTCCCTTTCTCAAAGTGTCATTGAGATGAATTTGACAGTTTATGACCTGATGCAGATGTGTTTTAAAAACTATTGATTAATTTTTTGGGGCTTTAAACTGATTACCATTGTTCTGACTAAGTAATGATCAACCAGTAAGGGACTTGCGTGCATCTTTATTATACATGTATTCTTTTATTAAGAAATGTTGGTAAATGTGCTATGCTAATTATTTTGAGGATTTGTATTATGTTTGATTATAGACTGGGATGACCCCACTACAACATGTGCTTTGTTTATTATTTTGAGGATTTGTATTATGTTTGATTATAGACTGGGATGACCCCACTACAACATGCAGCCTTCAGGGGACGTAAGGAAATGGTGGAACTCTTCTTAGCTAATGGAGCAAACGTTAACTCAGATAAACATGAAAACTCCTACTCAACTTTGATGTTTGCGGCTTTATCAGGTATGATTCAAAAAGAAAAAAAATGAATAAAGTGATTAAATTTTTTCCCTAGTTTTCAAGAACATATGGCAAAGTTATTATGCTTGAACCTTTGTGTAAAATTCATTGAACATTCTACGTATTATTAAAATGCATGTATAGATTAAAAAAAATGATTGATGAATATTAATGAATGTGATTTTTATTTATAGGAAACGCTGAAGTGACTCGACTCATTCTAGAAGCTGGTGCAAAAGTTGATCATGTTAACTCTGTTGGTCGCACTGCGGCACAGATGGCAGCTTTTGTTGGTAAGAGAACATCTATATTAGGCCAAAATAAAATTATAGTTTGTTTGGAATTGCCGCCCGCCTCATTTAAATACCCCCCAGCTCAAATAATTTTATTGGTAAAATATTGCAAATATTTTTTTTACCGTTTTTATCATCTTACTTTGTTTATTACCTGTTACTTTGTTCGTCAAAATAGCTTTTTAAGGCAGGTCTACACTTTTACGGATCCGGTTTTAATTTTACACACTAATATAAAATTTTGATTATCCTTCTCTATTGAAAAAAAATCTTTTTGGATGATTAAAAATAATTTAGCAAGTATATATTTGTTTATTATAGTGTCATTGTGCACACAAAGCATTTAATGTACATTATTTATAGGAATAACCACTTTGCACTCTGTCCATAGGATCTATATGTAATTTAGTACATACACAGACAGAGAATTCTTAATTGCCTTTATGGACCTAAAGCTTTTTAATTTTTTTCTAAACAAACTAACTTGAGATCTATTTATCTTTAATTTTTAGCCTATATCATCTTTTTAAATTTACTTTTTAATACGTTTTGCAAAGAACGATTGAAAAAATAGATAATGGGGGTATAGGTGTTCAAAAGGCTGTTTTGTAAAAATTTTCTGGTCAACCATAATAAAGTATGTTTTTTTGCTAACCTAAGATATAATTCTAAATAACTGTGAAGAAAAAATAGCATATAAACATATAAGATTTTGAGAAATATTTAAAATAAAGATATTTTGAGTTTTTTCTCTGAAAGATTTTGACAGAATCAACATAATTTTTTTAGTGTTTTCAAATAGAAATTTTCACAAATTTTCTTGACAAATGAATATTTATTATTTTCCAAAGTTTTAACAATAATTGGATGTGATTTGGTACATAGCTAAGTAAAAATATGATGTTACACTTCTATATGTTGAATTTTTGCTGTTGCATTTTTAGAGGTATATACTCCGAGACATGTTGCATGAAAATTAACCTGCAAAGATATGTTTTTTATCGGTGTTTAAGTTAGATTATGACTTATTCAAGATTTTCAAATCAAAAAATAAAGAGTTTGACAGAAAATTCTGAAAGTACGGACCTACCTTAAAGTCGGGTTTGAGCTCACATTAATTTAACAACACAGGTCAATTAAACGCTTTCTTCATAGTAATTATGATAGAGCGATTATAGGTGGCAATTTGACAAAATGAAAGCCGCCAAAATGTCAGACCAGGTAGGATCAGTGTATGTGAAAACATTCAAGCGTGGAAGAGCAGAACATTTTATGCATCTCCATAAAAATAAAAGGTGAATAAAAAATTAAATGGAATGATACACCAATACCTGGAACGAGTTATTGTAATAGATTGCACATTGAACTTGATCAGCTGTTGATAGGTTAAGTCCGTCATGTTGAAATAAAAATGATCGTTCTGACAGATCCCAGTTAAAAATTACATGCATAAGAAATGTTTCATCCCAAATACTAAAGAAAAAATTTTGTCTGTCAGTATGACAAGTCTTTGAAATGTAATTTTAAAATTGATTCATGGCAAACACTTAAGAACATACCAAGCACCCCCTCCAGCTTTTCCACAAAACATCCCAACAATTCTTAAGCATTTAAGAAATTTTGTGTGATTCACACTGTTTGTAAGGGTTGTCTTAACAAAGGGCTAAATTTCAAAGAGAAATGCTTTAAAATACCATTTATTGTTTAAGGGGGTAATATATATTTTTTTTAGAAAATCATATGACAAAAATTTTAAATTTTTCTTTGCCAAATGATAGACAAAAGGAAAAAAAAATTAAGTGGTGGTTAATTTGTGGTTAATCACCACCTCCTTAAAAAAATTTAAAATAAGAGATGCTTTTTGACTTTTAATAAATATTTGTAAATTATTAGATGCTTCAATTATATATTTTTTTGAAAATCAAAAAAAAATCCCTCCCTCCCTCCTGGGTCTGAAACCCCCCAGGCGGCAATTCCAAACAAACAATTTTTAAAGGATATGGCCTTAAGGGATGAGAGTCTGCTTTTCATTGTTGAAGGGAGATAATTGTTTAAAAGATAAAAACATCAGAAAAGTGAATTAAAGATGAAATGTTTTTCTATAACTCAGGTCAGCATCAGTGTGTATCAGTCATCAATAACTTTTTCCCAAAGGAACAACTCTTGTATTTCACCAAACCACAAGGTACCTGGACATTATTTAGCTTCTAGTTCTCAGAATTAAAAAGAACATGACAAAGTTAAAACAGAAGATTGCATGCTTGATTTATTCTTATTCATTGATAAAGAATATAAATGCCTTGTATTTAAGTGCTATTGTTTTCCTTTGAAAGCATATTCCATAACTACATTTGAAATGAACACTTTTTTGAAAAAAAAAAAAAATTTGGGAAATAAAAAGAAGTTCTCTCATACTTGTATCTTGATTGAAAATCCTTAGACTGAGGTTGAGAAATATTTTGAACAGGTTTGGAGAAAGAACCCAAACTTCCCCCTGAGTTGGCCCCAGCTCTCTGTAAAATGATAAACATGCCAGATCTTCACCCAGTCAAGGTATAGTACATGTATCTTGTGTGACAGTTTCAAATCCGAGGTGCAAGTCCATTGTTATCTGCACACTTAGACTTACACTGTCTTTACCTTGTGTCAGATTTTAGGTACTAGGCCGTTGCTATCCGCACACTTAAATTTATTTTGTGTCGTGCATGGAATCAGACATACTTGGCCATTCATTGTTATCCGCACACTTAGATTTATTAAAGAACCACATACAGTAACTCAAGCACACACAGTAAATGATTTGTGTCATAATGTTTCAGTTTTATGTGTTTTGTAAATAATTTTATTCACAAAAACCTTATTTTGTGCAGTTTTACTAGATTGTTAGGTTTGTTTATGATAAAAGGTAGTCACTGTAATGACCTTATTACATGGAGGATATATACACAATTTTTTTATCATAAGTAAATATAATAAAAAACAAAATGTATATTGTATTTCAGTTATGTATGTATCTTCAAGACCATCCTGGACTTCTTGATGCCTATCAAGGAATTGTCAGAGTATTTGAAATTTTATGTGAACGGAGCATGAAAGCTAGAGACACCAATGATATCTTTGCCATGAAGACTCATTATTATTCAGTGCTTTTTAAAACAGCCGGGAAAATGTACAAAGAGAAAGGAAATATTGACAGTTTCATCAAATCGTAAGTCTTTCTCTTAAAAATTGCAGGTTTCACAGATTTACTTTTGAGTTTGTTCTTTTGCCAAATTATTTACTGGTAATTTTTATATTATTTTCATGAGATTAAATCTGTAATATATACTTTCAGTAAATAAGCATGCAGAGTGCTGTTAATATGTAGTCTAGAGCATTATATATAATCTTTTGCATCACTTTTATTGAACACAAACACAAAGGCTGACATGGTATTATCAGATCTGTATTGATTTACATGTTGTTCAGGTTCATCTAAAGAGGCTTAATCTACTTAAGCTGCTTTGATAATTGAGGACTACTAAGATACCATTAAGTTCGTCAGCACATAAGTGATGGATAATAAATGTATTTCACTGTAAATCTTTGATTTTTTAAAAGGTTAATAAGAGGAAGAGAAAGCGATGGTTTTCCAGAATATCAGGAGAAATTTCTGCGACAAGTCTTACGGGAGTTTCCTTATGCAGAGTCTGAGCTTCTACAGCAAATGGTTCGGAATTTAGCCAACACACAAATTGTGAGTTACGCAACGAAAATCTGTTCCAAATATTTCACTTTAAAAAGTTATTTAAACTTTTAGGGTTATGTAAATATTATAAACTAACTTTTATTCTCTTCTGGAAAATGTCAGTGAGTTTTATAGCCTTCTCGTACTTGCAGATATTATTCTCTACAAACTTAATTGTATTTTTATGTCCTCAGATGATAAAATTAGTCATCACGGGGGTAGGTTTCAAACTGACAAATGTTAAATTAAATGTTCAGGAATAATAGTTGTTTCACAGTATTCTTCTTTTAACTTTTAAGAATCATGGTCTCATGTTCTTTGACAGGGAGATCACCCTACAGCGTTGTACGTTTTGTGTCAGGGGATTAATGGACAAAAGTTTATGGATCAGGATGATGTTTGTAGTACGTGTGGCAGCCTCAGAGCTGAGAAAAAGTGCTCAGCCTGTAAAATGGTAAGTTGTCAACTAGGCACTACTCATTTAAACAAGTAGAGTTTATAATACGCTTTTCTTGTGAAGTTGAATTTTTTTAAAGGTTTGAGGAATTTTTTTCCCATTGTGAAATGAAATATATGTAAATCTTTCTCAATCAAATTTCCATATTAAAACATTTTCATGTGTAAATTAGAGAACGATTATTAGTATGGGTTTCTTTTGATTTATTTTTAATGTACATGAGCATTGATTTTTCCCCTAGGTATGTTACTGCAATCAACAATGCCAAAAGTTACATTGGAGCACACATAAAAAGTTCTGCAAGAAGTTAGCAGGTAAAGTCTTTATAAACTCCTAGTGTCCTAAAGTATATTGTATGTAGCATCAGCTTTTCACCCTTATAAGGGGGGGGGGGGTAAATGATATAAGATTTTTATTCCATATTCAGTCCTCATTGTCTGTTAGTTAATTTACAGCTACGATGGGATTTTCCATCAAACTTTTGATGTTCTGAATTGAGATATATAGATTTGGATAATGATTGCTGTTTTTAACAGCCATTGTCATGATTGTAATATATTAAGTGGTAAGTGTTAAATGTGAGTTTAAATTGAATCTTTTAATAGAGGAGTACAAAAAGTTAGAGGAAAAGAAAAAAGATGAAGAGAAGGAAAAAGAAAGACAGGAACAGATACTGAAGGAACAACGACAGAAAACAGAAAGTCAACAAGGAGAACAGGGTGAGGAAAGTAAAGAAATTACAACTCAGAAATGATTTTAAACATGTGTGTACAAATATTTAAGAAAAGATTATCATTTAAAAAGAAATCAACATAATTTACCAACAGTCTATGAGAAGATTGTAGCTTTAATCTTTTTACAAAAATAAATCAAGTCAATTAAACCTTACATATGTGTGGTTTTCCTTTATTGTAATTATTATTTCCATGCAGAATTTAGAAATGTAAGTTTTTAAAACTGGTAAAAACATTATATTCCTGTGTAGTGACCTAAAACAATGACTATTCCATTTTAAACTTTTTTCAGACAAAGCTATAACAGAGAATGGAGTAGACAAAAGTTCTGAGGTGACAGAGGACAACACGGCCAGAACTGCAGAACCATAGACTGTCTCATCTCCTAGTCACACATTCCATCCAGAGTCATTGTTTTCTATGTTTAGTCTGTTTATGTTGTGTTTGTTATTGATAGACGCAAAAGCATAATTTAAACTGAGATAGCAAATATTATAATACTGCAGAAATTGTGATATGACTTGTTCATACCAAATTTTGTTCTCTCATTCATTTTTAAAGTTTATATTCATATTTTTTGGTGCTAGATAGATCTTATTTGTTTTCTTCTCTGTTGTTTATGTTATTGATTTTTATTGAAGTTAGGAAGAAAAATATCATTTAGGTCTTTTCTTTATATGGGCATTAGTCTTATAACATCTATTGTATATTCCATATACATGTATAATAATGTTAAAGACAAATTGATAGCATTACTTTCTTGTACAGAAAGATGGATTTTTTAATGATAAATGAAGGATCATGTTTATTTGTATACCACAGCCAAAAAGTTTTATTTGGAAGCCTCCTTTGATTTCAGTCACTTCCAAATTTTCTTTCCTGATATACATGTACATCTGTATTTTTAGAAAATGTCAAAGTCACAGAAATGATACATTATTTAACTTTTCAATGAAGAGGAAATGTTAGGTCTTATTTTACTCAAGCAGTTAGACCTGATACATTGTATTGCTTTTGTATCATTTAAATGAGAATATATTACTTACCCAGTGTCACACAAATGTAAGGGAAGCTTTGTTCGGAGTGACACTTTATCAGAACTCTGATGAAGGTTCAAGAGTGATATTCACATGAATTTTTTTCAGAGAATATTCATTACTTGTAAACTTTTAAATGCTTTACACCTAATATGTACTGTACGTACACACATGATTATAGAATAATATAGAAGAATAGAAGACAGTTTATTGTTTTTGGGCCGTAATTGAAGATTAAAGGGCATAATTTTTGGTCTATCTCCTTTCTTTAGGTACCACCATTTTTGACCTCATGACCTTGAACTAAATTGATAAAATACTAATTGCCAATCAAGGATGTCGTTTTGTTCATATTTGTTCAATGTTTAGTGTATGTGAATGTGTAATTTTTCCAAAAAAAAAATGCAATAAAGTGATTGTTTTAAATGTGACCTTTTTTCTGTACACTGAAAAGTAATATGACTCATAAAGCACATGGGGTCATGGTAATTAAATTGTCCTTGAGTTAGAAAAGAGCGTATACAGTAAAGACCTGTCCAAACCCGACACCACTGTTCCATAGCCAGATCAAGCAACATTTGAAAACAGTTGAGTTTATTTTTTTAAGGGACTAAAATTTTACATGATAGACAATATTTCGGAATACACAAAACCCAAAATCAGGATTGACGTTTCACTAAGATAAAATATCCAGGGGCCCGTTTCACAAAGCCTACTTAGGACTAAGTTATATCTTAGGAAAGAACTTTTTCCTAAGTTCATTACTTATCCGTTTCACTAACCTCGTCTTATCTTAGGATATTCCTAAGTTATGTCATAACTTTAGGACAGGTAAATCGATGACTTAGGAAGAAACTAAATATTGCGGCTGCATATCCATGGTTTCTTATGGAGAGAGAGAATGTGTTTGGAGAGAGAAAATCCAATGATCTGGATGATTGTGTTCTCTCCATGTTAAAACTGCTTTACTTTGCATGGAATTACTCGGATTTCAATAATTGACAAACAAGTGTCAAAATAATTCCAAGGTATATAAAAATGTCCATTCGCAACACTGGAGCTGGCGAAACAGATGGTATACACATACTGGAATAATTCCTCATCATTTGAAGAGCACGCATTTGAAAACAAAAAAAAAAAGCTCATGATCTGATCCATTATTAATTTATTATACATGCATGTATACATTATGTTTTTATCTACATGTTTATTTACTTATATATGACTAGTATTTTAATCGATATTAAATTAGAATTTTAAAAAATGATATTTTAGATACTAGTAAATGGAAACACTTGTTCACTTTCTATAAGTACATGATTCTTGATGAACCCCCAATTTTTAACTATATAAGCTCCGGATGTGTAGATGTTTCTCCCAAGAATGGTTGCATCTAATCTTCTCTAGGATGTTATTATTGAGGGGACACAAGCAAATGGCAGTTTTGTTTTCTATTGCATTCTATACATCGGTAAAATTATTATTACCCCCCCCCTTCCCCTTTCCCGTGCTTCTCCAGTTCCTACGGCCATGAGATTACAACCAGTTTTCCTCTCCGCTTAATACAATGTATAGATATGCATGAGATTTCAACAGATTTCCTTTCTTTTTTTTTTTAAATTTTTCCTAGTATTTTCATATCTGTCATTTCTGTGGTCGCAAATTGGGATTTTTTTCTGGCATGGCATTCTTGTTTTATATACATGTATATGAGAAAGCAAAAACACAATGCGAACAACTGACGTGAAGTAGTCATTAATAAAAGATTTTTTTAAAAAATGCCCTCACATGTGTTCGCTACGAAGCAATCATTTTTGAATTTCATTTACAAGTAGATACCTTATAAAGAGCGAAAAAAGTAAACGTATATCAAGTATAACGATGTATAAAAAAATACAAATATCGTGTGCCCTGAAGGGAAGAGGGTTTGAAAGGGTCTGTCTGTGAATGCTTAGTTCTACATGTAGCAGCAAACTTCGCAAAGTTAACACATACTTCCGTCCAAGTCCTTTGAAAGTGGGGGTAATCCCCAATCCTCCCACCCCTCCCTTTTTGAAGCTGAAAATATAACCCATACTATCGTACTGAGAGTTGTAGATAGAGCGGAGAAGTTATTCCATTAGTCCTTAATAAAGGCACAACTTAAGAAATGACTTAGGAAAAAATTAAGATAAGATTGTTTCGTGAAACAGCTGTGACAAATCTTAGGAACTTCCTAAGTTATAACTTAGGCATATCTTAAGTTATGTCTTACGACATATCTTAGGAAACGTTTGTGAAATAGGCCCCAGTTTCATAAGATTTTACAATCTCCTATGCAGAGTTGTCGTTCGTTCCTCTCTCAGACACCTGCAATGGGCTCACGTCAAGATTTTTGACGTAACGTAGAAAAAGTAATATTTGCAGGATTGTTTCAAATTAAATTAATAGTTCTGGATTAATTTAGTAAATATCTATCTGAAAAGTCAGACATAAACATATAGATTGAATTATGATGAATTAAAACAAACGCACTTTTTCTCGTGTTTATCACTGTGATATACGCGAGCCATTGACAGAGGTGAATGTATGAGCCGATGGTAGAGTGAAGATTTTAATGTTCATCAGGAATTTACTGTAATTTGTTAAAGAGTGCCATTGAATTTTTGCTTATGAGAGAAAAAAAAAATTGAGCCAAAATTGTTTTCCCCTCCCATTCCTGATATTTTTGGTCTCAAATTTTCAACATGGTATATTTTTGTCCTTGTTTCAATTTGATGATTAATGTCCGATAGGTTACATACAGGGACCTATTTTAATGACACGGCCATGAATAAAAGAACTAGAACTACAGTCAGAACTTAATTGTGTAACTGGAAACATTATACAAGTATTTTTTAAAATCCACAAATATCAGCAATTCCAACATTTCAAACGATTATCCTCCACTTGTGTAAATTTGTATGGTTCCTTTTAAAGTTCATTTTAGATCGAAATCGCTTAAAAATGGTATTTCAGGAGGAAGAAATAGATAACATTGAACTGCTCTGTACTTGTATATAGATTTCCTGATTCTGACAGGGAAAAACAGGCTTTTGAAAAATCCCGTTTATCCCTTACGCGAGTTATGTATATTTTCTGCAACAGCTGCAACATTAATTTTTTCCTTACTAACAAGCAAAGGAAGCATTTTATTGTTCAACAAAATACAAACTTGGAAACGAAGAACAACATTAAATTTGCATAAAAATGTTAGTGTAAGTAACAGTTTCTCTTTGAATTACGATAATTATAACACCTAAACAGACTCCCGCTACAGGTCTGCTACCAACATTTTTTTTAGGTCAATTATGATATTTAGGCAAAACTAATTATAACGACAGAAATTCATGTACATGTTAATTTACAGGTCTTCGTCAGAAGAATTCAAGCCTTTTCTTTCTCTTCCCGAAACTCCCAATTTGCACACAACTCATGCGCAAACGATCCCGTGGCACAGGGGATTCATTGGTTTTCCAATCAGGTCCAAGCAACATCATATCTGCAATTAAGTACTTTTCAAATAATAAATTTTATATCAGATTTCCAACTAATTTATTCATGATATGAAAATACATGTACATTGTATATACATAAGAAAAAAATGTGTGTGAGAACGTAAGAAATAAATTAAATATTTATAAATGACTTTAAATATTTTTTTGCGAACACTAAGAATGTTACTAAAATATTACAAAGTACTTAAAGTTTTTATTGGGTCCTTGCTCCATGTTTTTTTTTTTTTATAACTGAAAACTTTATATTTATACTCTTATTTTGAAAATAGAAGAAGTTTCATTAAATGTAACGTGTGCTTGAAATTTGTCTATTTTGCCTGCTTTAGAAAATTTTTGCAAATTGTAGCATAGTACGTAGATTTTACATCATGTATCACGGAGAAAAACATATCTTAGTATGAAATAATTATTTCAAAAGTGTTTGTTTTAAATTGTCTTTCTATTTCTCTGAAAGCTATTTAGATTATATTAAACTATAACTTATCTCGTAATACCGGTATGGAATTTCATAAACGACAGTAAGCTGCTTACTGCTGACTACCACTATCAACTACTGACAACTATTGCCTACAGCGAACTCGAGACAATTACTGCCACCTGCTAACTACGAGTACAAACTGCTTACAATCACTGCCAACTGCTCAATGCTGACTAACACCGCCAACTGCGAAATGCTTTTTACCACTGTCAACTGCTGACTGTAAGTGTCAACTGTAAACTGCTGACTACAAGTGCAAACTGCTATCTACAAGTGCAAACTGCTGACTACAAGTGCAAACTGCTAACTACAAGTGCAAACTGCTTAAAACAACTGCCAACTGCTGACTTATAGTGCAAACTGCCGACTAACTGCTGGCTACCAGTGACAACTGCTAACTGCTGAATATCAAGGACTACAAATACAAATTGATTACATCCACTGCCAACTGTTACATGCTGACTGACAATGACAACAGCTGCTTACCATTGTCAAACTGCTTACAACCACTGCCAACTGCTGCATAACTACCAATTGTTAATTAGTTCTGTTCTCTTTCATCCTTGGACTATCAGTAAGTCGTGGCATTCTCGACGCTACGTAATTAAGGTCTCTTAAAATGGCGAATAGATTCTCATTGGTAATAACAATAGCAACTTGAAATTGTTGTTGACAATGATGAGACGAGTTAAGCCCTACTTCTATGCCGTACAAAATGCTGTCATTGGATCATTGATACACTCGTTGACATATGACGGGATGTATATTTCAACAGCGAATGAAAGGCTGTGTAAATTTCAGACGCTAATTTTGTAACGTCGAGAATGCAACGCCTTACTGAAAGTGCAAGATTAACAGAAAACTGTACTAAATTCTTCTGCTAACTACCTGACTACCATTGTCAACTTTTAACTGCCGACAACCACTGCCTTTTGCTAGTTGACTGTTGACAACTTCTATCAACTGCTCATTTGACGATCATTGCCTACTGTTAACTGCTGATTACCATTGGCAAATCCTTACTACCAACTGCTTACTAACCAATAACAGTACTAATGCCAACTGCTTATGTCCTGGGACCCGTTTTAGAAAAGAACTTACGACAAAGATAAAAATTTATTCCTTCTAATAACTTTTGAATTTGTATTAAATAAAAAAATAGTTTTAACTTTTTAAAAAGATATGAAGAAAAATTCTTTTAATTTTAAAGCAATTATAAACAGAAAGAATAATTTTTGCAAAATTTTACAATCAGTTGAAGTTTTTAGTCTAAGTAATACGTTCTTTTGTAAACCGGACTCGTGGATAACTAGCTACTTTAGAAATACATCACTTGGTAAAATGCCTAGTGACATCTTTAAGTTTATCATACCCCCACTTGAGAAGCGGGAGGGTATATAGTAATCGTTATATCCATACGTCCGTCCTTACGTCTGTTACGCTTTGGGGTACCCATCTCTTATCCGCAACTCCTCTCATACCACTGATTGAAATTTGATGAAACTTTCACAGAATCTTTATTACATATTGCCATTGTGACCTCCTATTTTACATTTTGATACAACACATATTTTGGGTTTCCCATTGCAAAACATGGACACTGCCATTATATTCATGTGGGTGGCGGGGGTATCATTTAGTGAGCTCATTGCTCACAGTACCTCTAGTTTCCTTTAAAACCATCCCATTATCAGATCCTATGCAACAGTAATTTTGATTATGAATAAATGTGTCTAAGGTTTTCATTATCCAGGTTACTATACAGAGATCTTTGTATTTACTATTTATTAGTATTTATTTCTCCTTTCGGATATCTATCTCAGGAACGTAGTGTCGGAGTTGTCCCCCTTTTTCAAACATAAAGTTTGTAAACTTTTGCATTAAAATTTTTCTTTAAAAATTGCTTTCTCCCCTTTTTTGTATTTACCGTATATTAAAATTATTCGACGTATTCGAGAAAAAGAAAATTACATGTATATTCAATGGTAATTGATTTTCCATTTACTTGTTTATCAACGACAATCTGAACCAAATAGTTATCTTTATTAATAACATGCAATTTCTTTGTAATATTTCATAAAGTGTTTAATCCAATGTTTGAAACTCTGCATTGAATTTTCGCCAATCAGTAGACCGTAAGTTATAAGTTATAGATAAAATAGAAATATTCCTATATTTATAAACAGTTACTTTCATTTAATGCAGTACTACAGCATACAGTTCATTTCCGTCCTGTTGACTGGTGTCTTTATCGTTCTCTTTCCCTTTGGTCGGAGAGGACGGAAGACTAAGAAGAAAATAGCATGCAATTTAAAGTTAAAATTATAGAATGTATAAAAAAAATTACACAATACCTAAAAGCAATTAAATAAAAAAAAAGGTTTTGTAAAATATCAGTTTTCTATTTTACTGATTCATTAAAAGAATATAAATTATAGATATCCTAAAAATATTTCTGAAAACACCAAAAATAAGAACTGTTCAAAGCACTTGTGTTTTTGTAAAATGAACGCATTTACCGTGTGTTCTCCTTGTTGAACTGTTGGTTTGCTCGGATTTTAATGAAAAGGAAGGCAAATGATGAAGCAAACAATACTGTGAGTGGTATGAAAATGAACGATACGGCTTTCCACGTATTGAAGCCACAGACTGCCTGCCCATCCTTTTCCTTACAAATTTCCCCGATTTGGCAAGGGTTGGAGTCGCACGTCAGTGGAGCAGTACTTTGTATTTCTGGATTTTTGACAGATATAGATACCATAGATGTAACGTTAAAGTCTTTCCATTGAACGTGTTGAAAACAGAGCAAATATATTTTTCAGAACTGTTTGTCTGAAGGTTGTTAAGAATCAACGAAGACCTGCTACTGATATCATATTTTGTATCTTCACTACTGTTGGTAGACAAATATGTCCAGCCGTATTCTGGGGACGGATTACCATCAGTTTTAGATCGTCACCCTTATAGTACATTTCTTTGAATGGTAAAAGTGTTATTACTAGCGTCCCAGGCCCATCTTCAAAATAAAGATTCCATTTGAAAAAAAAAATATATCTCCCAGCATGACTGTCCCATCCATGATTCACAAATAGATGCCATGACATCTACATTTGTTTTTTTTTTTAATTTAAATGATACAGTGAAATAAATTAAGGTAAAAATAAAGAAAAATAGTAAACAAATAGTTTCTGCGTAGTACTTCATCAGTTTCAGAGAGTGTTGATATGGATTCAGAAAACCGCAGTGTGGTGATCCGGAGAGTCGGATCACAACGTCACGTGATTGCGTTAAATCTACAGTAAAATTGAGTGATACGCATTAGGTATATAATAAACATCTGTATTTTTAGAAAATGTCAGTCACAGAAATGATACATTATTTAACTTTTCAAGGAAGAGGAAATGTTAGGTCTTTTTTTACTCAAGCAGTTAGAAATGATACGTTGTATTGTTTTTGTGTCAATTAAATGAGAATATATCGCTTACCCAGTGTCACACAAATGTAAGGGAAGTTTTGTTTGGAGTGACACTTTATCAGAACTCTGACGAAGATTCAAGAGTGATATTCACTTGAATTTTTTTTCAGAGAATATTCATTAATTGTAAACTTTTAAATGCTTTACATCTAATATGTACTGTACATACACATGATTATAGAATATTATAGAAGAATAGGAGACAGTTTACCTATTGTTTTTGGGCCCGTAATTTTTTAGGTACCACCATTTTTGATCTCATGACCTTGAACTAAATTGAAAAAAACTAATTGCCATTCAGGGATGTCATTTTGTTTATATTTGTTTAATGTTAAGTGTATGTGAATGTGTAGTTTTCCAAAAAAATTGCAATAAAGTGATTGTTTTAAATATGTCCTTTTTCTGCACTCTGAAAAGTAATATGACTCATAAAGCACAGGGGTCATGGTCATTAAATTGTCCTTTGTTAGAAATAAGCTTATACAGTAAAGACCTTTCCAAACCCGACACCACTGTTCCATAGCCAGATTAAGCAACATTTGAAAACAGTTGAGTTTACTTTTTAAGGGACTAAAATTTTACATGATAGACAATATTTCGGAATACAAAAAATCTAAAATCAGGATTGACGTGTCACTAAGATAAAATATCCAGTTTCATAATAGTTTAATGTTCATCAGGAATTTACTGTAATTTGTTCAGAGTGTCATTGAAATTTTGCTTATGAAAGAAAAAAAAATTGAGCCAAAATTGATTCCCCCCCCCCCCCCATTCCTGGTATTTTTTGGTCTCAAATTTTCATTTTGCTAATTAATGTCCGATAGGTCACATACACGGACCTATTTCAATGACACGGCCATGAATAAAAGAACTAGAACTGCAGTCAGAACTTAATTGTTTAACTGGAAACATTATACAAGTATTTTTAAAAATCCACAAATTTCAGCAATTCCAACATTTCAAACGATTATCCTCCACTTGTGTAAATTTGTATGGTTCCCTTTAGAGTTCATTTGAGATCGAAATCGCTTAAAAATGATATTTCAGGAGGAAGAAATAGATAATATTGAACTGCTCTGTACTTGTATACAGATTTCCTGATTCAGGAAAAACTGGTTATTGAAAAATCCCGTTTATCAGCTTACGCGGGGTATGTATTTTTTCAGCAACAGCTGCAACATTAATTCCTGTACTACCTACCAAAGAAAACATTTTATTGTTTAACAAAATACAAATATGGAAACAAAATGCATTTAACTTGCATAAAATGTTAGTGTGAGTATCAGTTCCTCTTTAAATTAAGGTAATTATAACACCTAAACAGACTCAAGTCTTTTCTTTCTCTTCCAAAAACTCGCAATTTGCGCAGAACTCGTGCGCAAAGATCCGTGGTGCAGGAGATTCATTGGTGTTCATGAATTTCACGCGTTTTCAAATCAAGTCCAAGCAACATCATATCTGGAATAAAGTAATTCTTTTAAATGATAAAATTTAAATCAGATTTTTAAACTAATTTATTCTTGATATGAAAAATATAAACACAAGAAAAAGAAAAAAAAAAGTTTGTAAGAACGAATGAAATACGTGTATCTAGTTTTGAATATTTATAAATGAATTTACTTCAAATGTTTTTGCGAACATTAAGAATGTTAATATTACAAAGTAATTAAAGGAAGGATATGGAGATAACGAACAGTATTCAATATCAAAGTCCATAAAACAATACAAAAAAGGAGCAGAGCAAACACGGGCCTCTTAAACATCAGAGATAGGATCAGGTGCCATGGAGGAATGAGCATCCCCTGCTGATTGGTCACTCCCGCCGTCTGCTCCTTGTCCTGATCGGGAAATAACGGTAAAGTCGATTGTCAATTCAGTGTATAAATAATGAACTAACAATTAGTATGAAAAACGTCAGTCAGCATTTGTCTCAATGATAGATCGTATTTGCTGACAAGATCATTGTATCGAGCATAGAACTTACGAAATGACGACTTTAAACGAGACTGTTGTTAAAGTGTTTATCGGGTCCTTGCTCCTTGTTTTTTTTATAACTGAAAACTATATTTGTATTCTCATTTTGAAAGAGAAAACAAACTTCACGGCTGCATAGCTACCAGCTGCTAATTAAATACTTCTGCTAACTACTATTGTCAACTTTTAAATGCCGACAACCACTGACTTTTGCTTCTCAACTGTTGACAACTTCTATCAACTGCTCATTTGACAAACATTGCCTACGGTTAACTGTTGATTACCACTGCCAACTCCTTGCTGCATAATACCACTAGTACTGCCAACTATATGCTTATTTAAAACTACTGACCAGTGCTTCGAACTGCTAACTACCCAATACCAGTGCCAACTGCTTATGTACGATGCTCTAGGGGCTCGCTTTAGGAAAGACTTTATGGCTTAGACCAAAATTTATTTTTAGGAATTTTCTAATTTACATCAACGAATAACGAGGTTGGCTCCTTTTTTGTCAAGTACATTTTTAGTTTCTACACACTTGGCTTTAATTCAAATAAAAAAATGGGGGGTCAGTATGCTTATTTTGGCGCTACAGTACATTTAAAATGACCCTTTTGCACTGAAATTTGTGTCTTAATCAAAAATAACATCTTCGACAAATTTCTTCGTATAATCAATTATTGACCTTTCTGCACTCACAAAACGTGAATTTCAGGCATTGAAAATTAAATAAGCAAAAAAAAAAAAAAAAAAAAAAATTTCTTAAAGTCCTAAACTTTTGCTGAATTTAAACAAATAGGTCAAATTTATATTAAATATTCATAAAAGAATATCAAAAGTGGGGGTATATGATTTATTACATTAAATTTGGTTTTGTTTAATCCTACATGAATGGAATTTGATAATTTTTTTCATTGAATATAGTTCAATTTGCAATGTAGAATTCGTATTTAATGTAAAAGCTTAAAAATGATTCAGAATTTTAGAAATAAAGGTCCAGACCAACATCTGCCTAAAATCTCAGCATAGAACCTCCTTAAATAAAAATTGTTTTATTTTTTTAAAACGATATGTAGAAAAATTTTGCTGAAGTTTTTGGTCTAAGTAGTAAGTTCTTTTGTAAACCGGACCCCTGGATAACTAACTACTTTACAAATACATCATTTGGTAAAATGCCTAGTGATATCTTTTAGTTTATTTCCCTTAATACTATACCGTTTATCATAAGGAAGTTAACCGACCCTATGCAATAGTAATTTTAATTTTTTATAAATGTGTCTAAGGTTTTCATTATCCAGGTCACTATGTGGAGATCTTTGTATTTATTTCTTTCTCCTTTCGGATATCTCTCCAAGGCACGAAGTATCGGAGTTGTCCCCCTTTTTCGAACATAAAGTTTGTCAGTTATTGCAGAAAATGTTTCTTGAATTTTCTGTACATCAAAATTCTCCCATGTTTTCAAGAAAAAGAAAAGAAAATTACATGTACATTAATGATAAGTCCTAATTTTTCATTTTCTTGTTTATCAACGACAATCTGAACCAAATAGTTATCTTTATTAATAACATGCAATTTCTTTGTAATATTTCACAAAGTGTTTAATCCAGTGTTTGAAACTCTGCATTGCATTTTCGCCAATCAGTAGACCGTAAGTTATAGTTATAGATAAAATAGAAATATTCCTATATTTATAAACAGTTACTTTCATTTAATGCAGTACTACAGCATACAGTTCATTTCCGTCCTGTTGACCGGTGTCTTTATCGTTCTCTTTCCCTTTGGTCGGAGAGGACGGAAGACTAAGATAAATATGACGCAATTTAAAGTTAAAATTATAGATTGTATAAAAAAAAAATTACACAATACCTAAAAGCACTTAAATAAAAAAGGTTTTATAAAGCATTACCGATAAGTTTTAATTATTTCTCTATTAAACCTTTTCATTAAAAGAATATAAGAACTTTTCAAAGCACATACAGTGTATTTTCGTAAGAGTACATGCATTTACCGTGTGTTCTTTTTGTTGACTCCAAACAAGAGCTGTTGGTTTGCTCTGATTTTAATGAAAAGGAAGGCAACTGATGAAGCAAACACTACTGTAAGTGGTATGAAAATGAACGATACGGCTTTCCACATATTGAAGCCGCAGACTGCCTGCCCATCCTTTTCCTTACAAAGTTCACCGATTTGGCAAGGGTTGGAGTCGCACGTCAATGGAGCTTGTATATCTGGATTTCTGACAGATATAGATACTACAGATGTAACGTTAAAATTCTTCCCATTAAACGTATTGAAAGCAGAGCAAGTATAATTTCCAGAATTGTTGATCTGAAGGTTGTTAAGAATTAACGAAGACCTATAACTGATATTATATTTTGTATCTTCACTATTGTTGGTAGATTGAAATGTCCAGCTGTATATTGGGGGTGGATTACTGTCAGAAAAACATTCCAGTTTTAAATCATCACCGATATAGTATATGTCTTTGAATGGTACAAGTGTAAGTGTTGAAGTTCCCGGTCCATCTTCAAAATAGTTCAATTTGAAAAATAATAAATACCATAAGCCACGACACCCACATTTTCGTTAAAATCTTAAAATAGTGTATTATATTTTTTTTTCGGCAAATTTGTTGGTGGAACTAAAAAAGTTGATAGTAAAAAAAAAAAGAATAAATAGAAAATATTAAAGTTGATAAAAAATGAACAATATGATGAACAATTTTTAAAGAGAAGAGTACACTTACAAAGCACCGAGATTCTTTGTGAGTATCTCTCTGGTCCTGGGTCCTGTGTAAGACTATTTTGTGAGGAACAAAGAAATTTTATCCCGTTGTCCTTTCTGGAAACTTTGTATTCTGGATTTACGTTTAGAAAAGTGGTACAATTCTTTGTTTTATTGTTCAGTAATTGTGAAGTGAACACGATTTCTGGAATATTTGTTTTCTCTGGAACTTTCCAGATCTTGATGTTTCCCGCCGGACTTCCAACATCAGCAGCACAAATAAGATGTATGGACTGATTCTCCTCCAACTGATCCTGATGTTCCAAAACAAAATCTACTGGTTTTTTAGCTTCAGCTAGTTAGATTAGAGAAGAATATAGCTTAATCGCCAGTAAAAATGAATTCAAAAGAAAAAAAAACCTTACGAAGTATAATACTGTACTAAAGCATATTCTAAAATTATAAATGTTATAGTCCGACTAATATAAGAGAGAGAGAGAGGGGGGGGGGAGAGTCTACCCGTGTTGAGACACAACTCGACACTCAATTGTTAAAGATATAGTGTTGTCAATAAATGAATGAGGCATACGTCGATCATACTGTAACAACTTTAAGTACGGGGGTACTCAGAGGATATAAGTATGTTTTAACTACAAGTTGCTTTGTATCCTGTAACTTCATGCATTAATGTCATTTCATACAATTCAATAGCATTTTGTTTATCTAAATATTATTGGCAAAATTACCCTCGAAAGTAACTGCAGATGAGCTTTTCTTCTGTTCATCTGTAGAGTCGACAACGACAAAATACTCTATCCAACAACGGTACAATCCTTCGTCACTGCAGACGACATCGTGTATTATCATCGTGGCACTGGAGGACACACTAGTATTTGATGTGATAAGTGTCGTTCTATTTGCAAGAGCAGTAGCCATTTTATGAATATAGGGTTCTTGTCCGCCAGGAGGAGAAAACACGGCAACATCTACGAAACTATTGTTTATTTGTTTTTGCCATTTAATCTCTCTATCTGATATACGTTCTCCGTGATCAAATGAATAATTGCAGCTTAGGAAAAGGCTCGTGTCACTTCGAAATTTTACCTTCACTTCAGGTGAAGTTGATATGGAAAGTAAGGTAACACCTAGTACAAGAGAAAAATTATTTTGTTTGTGCATATTATATTCAGACGTAATTCACACTTTTGAAAAGCAAAATGATATATCAGCGCATAAAATCATTTATTTTATTTTTTACAACATTATTTTTAATGTGAAAAAAGTTCATGTACTGATCAGGAGTTAAAAAAAGAAATTATTAATCCATGGATTCTGAAAATAAGCACTTGCAATCAATAGAGAATTCGAAATCACAAACCTTAATATGGACACATACCGGTACGTACAAACTCTTTTTCTCTTTTCTTTTTTAAAACTAGAAATTTGAAAGATTCATCTTCCACAAGCACTAGAATTTCATGTGAAAAAGGAGAATCAAATAAGGTTTATTTTCAAATAAAGCGATTTATGTTAAAAATTTCATGTATGTATTTTTGTGGATGTCAAGTGTTTATCTTTTTGTAATTTTACAAAACCTTTAATTTGTAAACCCGGTTCTTCCAGTGACCCAGTTTTACCGCGTCCATAAATTTTGTCAAGGCCTTAGCTGTTTTCAGCCAATCAGATTGCCGCGCAAGGCTTCCTATTTATATACTTCTTGTTTACTCGGAGTGCTGCCGCGAAATTTTTGTGAACAAAAAAGCAACCACCACCTCCACTCCATCCACCACATTTATTTAATTAACCACATAATTTTTATTTGTGTGTCCTGAGGCGCTTTTTATGTACCACTTTTGTTTCCAATCAATTTGATGTTGTATTTTACCGCATTATCACATCTGTATGTTGTAACAATATTGCGGCTGTGAGACCACTGATTTGTAATCATTTATTGAATTGCATATCTGGTCAAGCTTTCCAGGATTCTGTTATGTCTCCCAGCCAAATTCTTTGGTAATTGTTTTTATAAATGGATTTAATTTTTCGTCATTTAAATAAATGACAAGATTTTTACACTTAACATGTCTTTTGTTATGAATTTTGGAAACAAACTGAGCTGCTATGTTGCCTTGGTCTGCCAGTTAAGTTTTAACATAAATGAAATATATGGAGTAAATATGCAAGTTGGATAAACAAGAATATCAATTTACAGTGTCATATAAAGTCATCATTTCGTAAGTTCTTTGATCGACCTATTAGTTAAAGCTTTACATGCAGTTATATATCCTAGGACCCAGTGATTTCACTTACAATAGTGGAAGTTTATAATGTGTCCTGTACCGGCTTTATGGTTCAGTTTGAAATGAAACGCTTCTGTATTGCTTAGAAAACAATATACTGTTTATAGCTTAATATCAAAGGAGATTCTGTACTGAGAATTTGCGTTAGAGATAGAGATTGTTGTTACACTAGAACTGTGAAATCTAAAATGATCACCTTCTATTTTTTGAAAAAAATTACTTATTAAGACTTTTATGATTACAATCATTACATGTATTATATACAACTATGTTGCTGTAAAACGACATAAAAGATTTTTAATATGTATTTATTTGTATAAGTATAAGAGTTTAAATTAATTAAAGTTTTATTAAACTAATAGGCCTACTTTAAACAAAGAGTTCAGTAGCAAATATTATTCTATATTTTAGGATTGTTACTTTGTTATGTTATGTTATTTTATTTCTATTTAATTTGTATTACAAATATTATCATAATATTGTGTTACTATAATATCACATTATTTAAAAAGTTCAGTGGGCAGCTGTGCGCGAAAGACGTTATATATGTAGTTGTTTTTGAAGTCTTATTTTCAATGTTTTTTCAAACTGTGGCTAAGTCATTTTATCTCTTTCGTTGATCTTAATAAATTCTTTTTGAAATTTACATATATTTATAAAATAGAAAAATGAAAAGTAAAAAGAAGACATAATAAATAAAAAAAATAACTGACACATTTAAAACTGTGCGACCCATAACCCTCTCTAGACACCATATTTGCAATCTTGATTGGGTTCAAGGGTTACACTCTTTAGAAATGAAGAAATTAGTTTTAAGGAATTTTCCTTAGTTATAGTTTTAGGAGTATTTTAAACTTACTCTTCCATTTTTATGTTGATTCCTGTTTTCATCCAAGTAAAAGTAAAAATTCTTGACACGGTTTATAAAATGCTTTTGTTAATATCTTATATATTCCTCATCAGGTATTTAAAAATTCGTTTGAAGTAAAAAAAGAACTGTGCTATTGATTTTTATTATAATTTTAAAGTTAGAAAGTTAATGTCATGAGTATCAGAGTATTAAAATAAACTGTTACATAAGCAGTACATTAATTTAAGTTAAATAGAAGTGGAGGTTCAAATAGTTAAGACAAATTTATAAATTCTTGCCTTTTATCAGGTAAAGCATAAAAATCTCAAGCTTTATCATCTTTTTGATGCAAAGATATCAGAGTCATTGGTCTTTTCCAAGAATTATATTATTCTTTAAAAGAAGAAAAATATACGCTTTAATATTGAAATGTTGCATATTTGTATTGCTTATGGATTTTTTGGGGAACCAATACTGTTTCTTTTTTTTTCATCTTTTAAAAATAAATATGCTAATATTAATTATATTGAAAATTGCTAGATAATTCACTTACCTTTTGCGACTATTCGGGAAAAATTGTGAAACATAAATAGAGAGATTTTAATTTTCTGCCGTGATTTGTACGAGGAAGTATTATATTGCATCCAGAGAATATACGATATAGAGGAAACATATTTCTGGTATAGCTTTTCCAGGCAATACTGAAAATGAGGAAATGACATTATCTGTTAGAATGTTCTCAATATATATATATATATATATATATATATATATACTCAGCAAATATGGCGAGAAATAAGAATAACCAAAGAATGACACAACAAAACAATGTCGGAATAGGAGATCGAAATTGGAATAAACCCCCTAAAAGAAACCAAGGATGGCTGAAAGAACAGAACAGTTTACACAATTCTAACAGTAAACAAGAAAACCAAACAAGGAATAATTCGGAGAATAATTTTTTGTGGAAAGGACGCTTCCACAAGGGCCGCCAAAAACCATTCCGATTTCTGCAAATTTAGACAACTCAGAAGTAAGTCAAAATCAGAAAATCGATGTGAAAATTGTTAATTTATCTCGGAGAGATATTACAGAAGATGAAATGAAAATTCTAGATAGGGGTTTGAAATTTACACCCACACCAAAACAGGATAATGTGGATCTCATAAAAGATACCGAGGAGTTTTGTCGGAAACTTAGACTTAGAGAATATTTTCAAAATGAAGAAAATACGGACGAATCACTTGTGAGAAATAAAAGTAATTTCAAACCACCACCTAATAGGGATAAACATTTAGATGAATTTATCAGATGTTTACAAAGTTCCGCCAGAAGTAATGACATCTCCATGAATACCCATATTAAGGATAATATCACTAGACGGGAACGAGAAGCTATCAAAAGCCTCGCAAGTGATAATTCTATTATTATAAAGGAAGCAGATAAAGGGGGAGCAATTGTCATTATGGATACGGATCATTACAAAGAAATGGTTTTGGACCAACTTAATGACAACAATTTTTACAAAGAATTAGTCTCTAATGAAGACAGTAAAACCATGCGCAGGATTAAGAAATTTACAACTAATTTTGCGGATAATTTAACCAAAAAGGAAGTGGATTATTTAACCAATTTTGAAATTAAATCTAGTAACTTTTATGGTTTACCAAAGATCCACAAATCCAAAGAAATACAGAACGGACTTGAAGGTAAAAACTCATTATATATAAAATTACCTCGACCAACGGATTTAAAACTTAGACCAATTGTAGCAGGCCCTGCATGCCCCACGCACAGACTCAGCAACTTGTTGGATATACTTCTAAAGCCTCTATGCCAACTTGTACCAAGTTATGTAAGGGATGATTTGGATTTTCTCGGCCACATTCCAGATACAGTTGAACTAAATACTGAGATGGTTAGTTTTGATGTAACGAGCCTCTATACCAACATACCGCATACACTTGGACTAGAAGCAATCGCTTTTTGGATTGACAAATACCACAATCAAATTCACGAAAGATTTTCTAAAGACTTTATTCTAGAAGGAATAAAAATAGTATTAGAGAATAATCATTTTGTTTTTGACGGGAGAAATTTTCTACAAATTAAGGGAACAGCGATGGGCACGAAAGTTGCCCCAACCTATGCAACCCTAGTTCTCGGTTTTTTAGAAGAAAAACTGTTCAACGAAACAGAGAGACGATTTGGAAATCCTTTTGCGCAATACATACGATTTAATTGGAAACGATACTTAGATGATTGTTTCATTTTTTGGACGAGATCTACTGAGGATTTACAAGAATACCATACCATTCTTAACAATCTACATCCTTCTATTAAATTTACCTTGGAAAAGAGCAGGTTAGAACTACCCTTTTTGGATATTCTTATAATTAAGGAGGGTCGCAAAATCATAACAGATTTATACTACAAGAAAACGGATTCCCACCAATATCTCGTATTTAATTCTTGCCACCCGTCACACGTTAAACGTAACATACCTTTTAATATGGCAAGACGTGTTTGTACCATTGTCATAGATGAAACCAGAAGAAATGGCCGTCTACAGGAATTAAAAACATTTTTGCTCAGACAAAAATATCCTAACGACTTAATAGATATAGCAATTGAAAAGGCCAAGTCAATACCGACTGCAGATCTCCGTTCTACTAGACGAGGACGCCAGGAAAACAATAAGGAAATCCCGCTGGTCGTTACCCATAACCCACGGAACCTTAATATATATAACTCCGTAAAACAGTGTTTTCCTATTTTACAGCAATCCCAAAATTTAAAGGAATTAATTGACCCGAAGAGCATCATCTATAGCCGACGCCAACCTCCAAACCTAAAGAAACTCCTAACAAGAGCCAGATTCTCATCGGATGAAGAAAAACGCACTGTAGCCAAATGTATGGATCCCCTGTGTGGAACCTGCCCTTATTTAAAAACCGGAGAAAATTTTACATTTAAATGTGGTAAAACGTTTACCGTCAATGCGAATATGTCATGCAAAACTAGAAATT